AATTTTAATCTCATCCAAAAAATTGAGTAAAAAACAAGCAAGGAAACACCAAAATTCTTGTAGTCTGGGATTATAAACGTATGTGAGAGTGAGAGGTCTACATCCAAGGGACAAATAAATATATTATTGGGTACAAATGCAGAGGTAAAATGAACTTTGTTTATGAAAGAGAATATGCCAAAGACAGTGACATGTGAGAAAGCTTCGTCACATTTTGAAAACAAAGAACAAAACCTTGTCTTAAAAACGGATACAAACCTCATTAAAGGAAAAGAAGGAAGAAGAATGGGGGATGGGTCTGAAAGCCAACAAAACAAAGAAAACAAAAAAAAAGCAATGAGGAATCTTGGAAGAAAATCAAATGCTGCATACCTTTGACTGCCTCGTAAATCTTCATGATATTTGGCCTTAGGGAGAAGGAGGGTAGTTCGGGAAACAAAAAAGAAAAAGCAGCAGTACCAAATCTTCTTTGAGTTCTTTATGATTTATTGACCTAATTTGCATGAATCTTATTTTATTGGGACAACGCAATCTCATACACATACAGTTTGTGAACAAATGCATCTTTTGATCTTTACTCTTTAGAAGACAATTAGTCATCATCATGTTCTATTCCAATGTATGATTATGTGGAAATTAAATTTAAGGCTAATTTTAATTATAAAACCATCTTCGGTTGCCTTTAATTGAATATGCATTTTGTACGAGCGCATGAATGATTATCAACTGTTGAGCATAATGCATCCCACCATCAATCTGGAATTGATATATCAATAATATAAAATTAATAGCAAAAGTGAGAAAGAGTGATATTTTTTGGGAATTGGAATATCCTTTATATAGAAATGTCATCCCTTGTGTCAATTCTCAACCAGAATGGATGGTGCTGATTGAAAAAACCAGTTCATCACTTTTGATCTCATCAGTTGCTTTCATTGGAACTGTGGAAGGGTTTAGCCAAGGGTTGTTAATTTATACCCACTCCCTTTGCTCTCATTAGTCAATGGGTGGGATGGGACTAAGATATCCGATCAACTCTGAGATACCATTATTTATCTTCAGAATCATGTATTTATTATGGCTTGGTTGAATCCATGAACGTGGTGTTCCCTAGATACCACTTCATGAAATTGGAATGCTTGTGTTCTATAGAATCATGGATAAAAATTTTGAATTTAAGGTCTATTGTAGGACCTATTCTATGAGTTTTGGATGTCATATTCAACGTTTAGGAGCTATGGTCTATTTTTCTAATATTCCCTTCAAGGATTATTTCATGCAAAAAGTCAGAATAAATAGGAAATTATTTACCAATTTGAATATCCGTAATCTTTTTATTTATCTAACCAACTGTGTATAAAAGAGAAATACCACTAAACTAATAATTATTGTTTCTTATTAAGTTTTACTTTCTTTATTCTTTGCTCTAAACTCATTAGGTCAGTAATTTTAAAACTCATTATGTGAGTGCGAAAAAATTGTGCAATATTGCACTTGAGTGCATATGACCAAAAGATGAGCCAAAATTGCTACCCAATTGCAAAGGACTTAGTTCAAGTGGTTAAGAGCAGTTATCCCTACATCCAAAGTCATGTGTTCTATTTTTCCCCCTCCCCCCTCTTCCCACAATATCGCTTACATAAAAATACACTACGGTATCATTTATTTGCACAGAACCAAACCAAATTTATGGACGAAAAAACAATTATATACTAGCATCCTTTCATATGCTTACAATACCCGCATATTGATGAGTATGCATGTCCAAATTTCCCTTTTTTCATCATGTCTTCATTGAATCAAAAGAATATGATTTTTGTTAGATACCCATTTGAATTTTCATGAAATCCTTCGTCAATTGTTAAGGTTCTCAAAGTGGAGAAGAATGAAGTATATTTCCAATCGTAGTGGGGCCACTTTGTTCGAGTTTTTTTTCCCTTTAGATATCCAATTACAAGGGATGGCCCATTAGCTCTTTGTGTTTGATACAGTCTCTCACTTTACATGTTCCTTTGCACTATTTCAGTATTAACTTTTTTCTCGTTATTGCTTCAAATCATTCCCTAAGACCCACATTAGCAGAAGCAAATTGAAAACAATGTCGCCCTAAAATCCATCCATACAAAAGCAAAAGCACATAATTCACCAACCATTTCATGAAGATTAAATGATTTAATGCTGATTAGATAACCTTGATGAGCAAAATGGAAGTAAACTCATTATTACATGTTTTTGAAACTTGGGGTAGTGCGCATACGATATCATTTTCTAGTTAAAAAAATATTGCTTAAGTTTTTCTTTTAAGTTTTTAAACTTGCAAGTTCACTCATTACTACTTCATGGCCTTAACCCAAATGGAAACTCTGGATTGAGAAAAGTAATTTGGTGGCAGACTCTCTTGCGGATATTGAGCATGATTTAGCTCAGCCTAGCTAAAACATGGACTGTCTGACCAAAAAGAATGAAAAAGGCTAAAACATGGCCTAATTGTTTTATGTATATAAATGGGGTTGCGGATGCCTTAGGTTTTTGAGTGGAGGTCTTTTTATGTATGCTATTTTAAGTGCTATTTCAAAGGGTTTGTAATTTGTTTAATTTATGTTTTAAGTACAAGCGATTGTGGGAAGGAGGCTTGCACACAAATATTCACGTGTCGTTTTGGGAGTTTCGAACTTCTGTCCACATGGATAGAGGTGAAATGGGTGGTAGTTGTTTTACTTTTTTTTTTTTTTTTTTTTTTTTTTTTTTTTTTAATTTTTTGAAATTGTGGTACAGTGGTGGGCTTTACATCTTCATACACAAAGGCAAACAATGCATTTATATGCAAGTCCCAATCTTGCATATCTATTTGGGGACCAATTGGTCATCATAAAAACTACACGTAGTTAGTGGATGCTAATGAAGCTATTAAGGATTTCCATTTGGAATGTGGGTGGATTTTGATTTATGCCTTTGTGGTGCCCCCAACAACAATTGTTCCGCCGTTTGCACAATACATTTTGTCCTCTAAACATGTAAAGTATGCCCCTAATCAATGGTTTAAGACCCAATAATAATCATGAGGATTTGCAACAACTAATACAAAATGCAAGAGACAGCCTAGCTCTCTCTGCTTATGGGGTCATGGGTATTAAGAGTTTATTACCGGTCAATTAAGACTTCAAACTTTTGGGGAAAAAAATAAAATTTAAGACTTCAAATTTGAGAGCCTATCCTAAACCAAAAAGGGAAAAGACCTTGTTTTGTTCAAAGATAGACCTTTCAAACATGTTGTTGTTGAAGGCTCAAGAAGAGCTAGAGCTTGGCATGGGCGGCGGGCACATCAAACTATAGAAGTAGGACACTTTGTGTGACCACACAAATATTGCTCAAATTCCTTCTAAGTCAAAAGATCCCCATGCAAATAATAATTATAATAATGAAAATAAAAATTAAAGATAATGTTATATAAATTCAAATATATGCTAAAGTGGTCTAGTTTAGTGGAAAGAGCTTTGACTTGCAGACAAGTGATCTCAAGTTCGAATCCATGACACCTTGACAGTGTGTATGTGAGAAAACCTTCCTCCCCCAATATCGTTTGTATAAAATAAAGCTCACATCTTTATAAGTTGGTAGCTTCGAAAGAATTAAAAAGAGAACCCCAACACCCAAAATTTGGGACAGCTGCATGTGTTTCCAAAGACACAAAACCTAGATTGAGCCAAGAAAGCCTCAAAATTGCTTAATAAACATTCTCCCAATTTCCCAACCCAACATCCACAATCATTTCATCTATAATAACAACATAGAGAATCGCACACATGACACATACATCCACATTGCTAAAAAAAAAAATAAAGTTTGGAACTTTGGAAAAACCTAAAAGGACAAAAAATGAAGTTTGTTGAGGGAATTTTATACATTGCTAAAGTTGAATGCCTCCCAAAACCACAAAAAACCAAACAATTTCACAAAAACACAAAAAACCCAAGTAGGGAATGTATTAATTTGTTTTGTTTATTGTCCAAGACACTATTTCTTCAACCCCAAACATTCTTTGCCAGCAAAAAGAAGAAAATAATAAAATAAAAAAGAGCAGCAGAAAACAAATATAGTATTAGTACTTGAACAAGAGCAGATACATTCCCTTTATCTTTTTCCTTCTTTAACTGCTTTTTTACTTTGATGGGTAGACCAAAATGGGGTAGAAGGATACAGCTATAGGGGAGGAGGGTATATGTCTGGTTCTCAAACCTGCCCTTCACTTTGCTGACCGTGGGCAGCCTTTGTTCTGCTGACCGGCTCGTTTCTGTTCAGAAGCTAAAGCTAAACGACATGCCCGTTGCCCCATCATGTTGGGCCTGCCTTGAGCTTTGGGGTAAAATATTTTTCAAATTAAAAAAATAAATAGAAATTAAAAAGAAAAGCCCACAAAGACTCTGTCTTTCTCTCTCTCTCTGTCTCTGGGCACTTTATACTGTTCAAATTCGATACTTTGCTGTTGTTACTAAGAACGAGGCCCTTTGGTTCAAAGAGAGAGAAAGAGAAAGCTTCGCTTCTCTCTCTCTCCATGTCTGCCGCATTGTCTTGTTCTACTTCAGAATCTCATCTCACTTCCACGCATTAAAGCGTTGTCTCTCTTTCTCTCTCTTTCTCATTCCAGTCGTTGTGCTTTCATATTCTTCTGCGCTTCTTTTGCTTCTCTGAGCCTCAGCACTTAACCAGAGAGAGTGTGTGTGTATACATAGCACAACAAGACCAAAACAAGAAAACCCATTTGTTGTTTGCTCTCCTTCTTTCAATATTTGGAGCTTTTTATTATTATTGTTTCTGAGAGTTTAAGGAGCTATTGGGAAAACACAAAGGACTGAACTTGTTCATAGTCTAGAGCTCCTCAGAGTGAAAACCCAGAAATTGGGGAAGGGGAGAGTATCTTTGGCTGATACTGGTTAAAAAACCTGAAGCCCAAGAATTGCAGAGAATAATACTGCAGAGCTGTATGAAGTAATAGTGAAACAATGAGAGATGAGAATTCCAAGAAAAGCAAGGTTTTTTACTTTCTTCTGCTGGAAAAAGTATTTATTTTAATGAAAAATTTATGAATTTGTTTATTATTATTTTGTTTTGTTTTGATTTCTGGAAATGGTTTGCTGATTCTTCTATTTGTTGTTTGGTGAAGCTCTCATGGTCAAAGAAAATGGTCAGAAAGTGGTTCAATATCAAGAGCAAAACTGAGGACTTTCAGGCAGATGATGTTGTTTCTGGAGGTCGAAATCTTTGCTTTGTTTTCTTTACCCATGTGGTACATGATTGGTTCTTGCTATTATTAAATCATTATTGGGGTTCTGGGTGACATAATCTTAAGCTCACTACAGAAAACTGAGAGAAACTATAAAAAGAAAAGTAATTGGTAAATGCTGCCATAGCTTCTAAAATTGACTTATTTTTTAGAAGTAATGTAAAATGCTAACTTCTAAATTCTGACTTATTTTCGTTCTCATAGCTATTCTTATTGTCCTATCTGGTTTGGCTATATATGAAACCAATTTGAAACATGTAAATCCCTTTTGGTGCTTATTTTGACCTCTCTTGTGTTTTCTTTTTTGAACTCAAAATTAATGCATTGCCAATAATTTTCTTCTTCAGGAGGTGATCAGGTCGAATACAGGACTAGCTTCTCAGAGAGGGAACCGTGCACAATTAAGAAAAGCAAGACAGGTTGGGTATAATCTGAAAGAAACTATTTGAATCAGCCCCTCTCTTTCATGTCTCAAGACTTGGCATTATTGGTCTCTTTTCCTCATATTATTTTCTCTCACTTTATTGCACAGAGAAATTTAGCAAGAACCCAGAGCAGGTCCGTCGACGAAAAATGAATCTTGACCATCCTCGAATCATAGATGTAGAAAACCATAGGTAAATGTCTATATCTTCTTTCACAATGTTCTTAATAAAGTACTTTATCTAATATATTATTTATTGATAAGTTTTCTTCCTTTCGATTTGGAGCAGCATTTTTGTTGCTACATGGAATGTGGCTGGAAGATCTCCACCAAGTAATTTAAAACTAGATGAATGGCTTCATGCCTCACCTCCTGCAGACATTTATGTTCTTGGGTAAGGTTTGGTTGTTTATATGCTATCATCTTTCTGAACAAAATCTGTTATTTACCCGTTGCTAAAAGATATATGTTTACTTCTCTCTTTCAGATTTCAAGAGATAGTTCCCCTAAATGCTGGTAATGTTCTGGGAGCAGAAGACAATGGCCCTGCCAAGAAATGGCTGGCTCTCATTCGAAAGACTTTAAACAATCTTCCCGGTACCAGCGGGGGTAGTGGGTGCTATACACCATCTCCCATCCCTCATCCAATTGTAGAACTACATGCAGATTTTGAAGGATCAAGTAGGCAGAAGAGCTCTTCTTTCTTTCAACGCCGATCATTCCAGGCAACCCAAAGCTGGAGAACGGAGAATGACCCTTCAATCTCACAACCTCGACTTGATCGAAGGTTCAGTGTTTGTGATCGGGTGATCTTTGGTCACAGGCCAAGTGACTATGATCCCAGTTTCAGATGGGGTCATAGGCCAAGTGACTATTCAAGGCCGAGCGACTACTCAAGGCCAAGTGACTACTCAAGGCCAAGTGACTATTCCAGGTGGGCTTCGTCTGATGATGATAATGGACCAGGTGATTCACCAAGTACTGTTTTATTCTCACCAATGTCCTATGGTGGATCTGCATCCAATGAAAATGGATATAGAATGCCAGGAGGGCATTCAAGGTACAACTTAGTTGCAAGCAAGCAAATGGTTGGCATCTTTCTTACAGTATGGGTCAGGAGTGAACTGAGGGATTATGTTCAAAACATGAAAGTATCATGTGTTGGAAGAGGATTGATGGGTTATCTTGGGAATAAGGTAATGATTGAATTAATTATATGGTTGTTTTGATTCTTTTCAATGCATTTTTTCAATTGTAATCAACTTAGCAAATGCAAATTTTCTGTTTGGATTAACAGGGATCCATCTCAGTAAGTATGTCTTTGCACGATACAACCTTTTGCTTTGTTTGTACTCATTTAACATCGGGACAGAAGGAGGGTGATGAACTAAGAAGGAATTCAGATGTCATGGAAATCCTTCGGAAGACCAGGTTTCCGCGGGTTAATGGCTCCCGTGCACTGAAATCCCCAGAAACAATCCTGGAGCATGAGTAAGATTTTTGCTCATCAACCGTTGATTAAATATTACATTATAGTGTTCAGCTGCGTGTATATGCCTCTTTTATAATTACCATTGCCCAATGATTTTCTTATAATAAACTAATAATGTTTTCTCTCACTTCTTATCTAGTCGAGTTATATGGCTTGGGGATTTGAATTATCGAATTTCCCTCTCGTACCGCTCTGCTAAAGCGTTAGTTGAGATGCAAAATTGGAGGGCCTTGTTAGAGAATGACCAGGCATGTTTTCAAGTCCCTCAATATATTTCTCTGTTTTTAAATCCTTGCCTTTGTTCTTTACTACTGCAGTAGTAAAAGTTTCATCATAAATTGACGTTGGTTCTTTCGACAGTTACGGCTAGAGCAGAAACGTGGTCGTGTCTTTGCTGGCTGGAATGAGGGGAAGATTTATTTTCCACCAACTTACAAGTATTCAACTAACTCAGACAGATACGCAGGGGATGATATGCACCCAAAGGAGAAACGTCGAACACCTGCTTGGTAAGACTTTCTTTCCTACTGTATGGAGAATTATGCTTGAAATAGAAGGGAAAATGGAGTGTAAAGTGAAGAAAAATGGATTGATCTTAGAGCAAAATGATGAAAGTTGGTACTGCAGCCTATGCATGGGCGTGCCAATAACCAAAAACTTGCAATGCTAATTTGTTCACTTTTGTTGGTGAAGGTGTGATCGAATATTGTGGTATGGTGAAGGTCTCCAACAATTATCTTATGTCCGTGGGGAATCTAGGTTCTCAGATCACAGACCAGTTTATGGTGTATTTTGGGCTGAGGTTGAGTCAAGCCAGAGCCGGTTGAAGAAAAGCACGAGTTATTCTAGTTCCAGGATTGAAGTGGAGGAGCTTCTTCCATATTCTCATGGATATACTGAGCTAAACTTTTTCTGAAGGATGAGAGAACAATGATGACCCACACCGGTCCTGCATTCAAGTATGCTTTCTCTCTCCCTCTCTGATGCCTGCACACAAATGATATGGTTGTCTGAGTGTGTGTTTCACTTGCAGATATATATATATATATATATATATTATATTTTATATTTTAAAGTTATATAGTTTAGTTGTTCCACTAGGTTGCCAATACATGTTGAATAAGTTCATTTTTTTCTTTCCTGCAAACCATAATTGGTTTTGCATCATAAATTATTCAAGCGACCCATTCCCTTTCTCCCATTTGACCCTTGTTTCATGAAAGTTTCATCTGTCACACTCCTGAGCATTCTGGTTGTCTGGGGGTATAGGAACCTTTTAACTCCACCACTGTCCGGCTCAATCAGATCCTTCAATCTATACATCTGTCATCCTGTAGAATATACCTTTAAAAAATCTCATTGAAGGAGAGGAATGATGCCTCTTTAAGTAACCTGAAAGTCTCTCAAATTTTTTCTCTCTCTTTTTTCTTGAGCAGTAGATCTCTTGCTTGTTTTTGTTCCTAATTTACAATTTGGTCCCCAGTTGCAGGCGGGAATCACTTTGAAGAACTAATCTTGAAGGGTGATGGAGACTTCTCCTAGCCCACAAACCGAAAAAGGTTAGTCTTTTTTTCTTTTTGACTTTTCTTGGTTTTGCTGTACATCTTGGTTTTGCTTTGTCTAATTTGACCCTTTACTTTCTCTTATCAGGTGTTAATTTTGCAATTTTGTTCAGTTTAACTCTATACATCAACAGCAAGTTGTACAGTAACAACAGTTGGTTAGCAGTAAGAAACAGTTTCAGCAGTAAGAACACTGCATTATTTGGTCACTCAATTAACAGATACCTACCCCACTGGCAACTCAAGCATTTCGTCTTCTGCACAATTATTAGGTACTATAATTTTGTTAAAAAGTGAATACTTCTACGCTTATGGTAATAATTACTTGCCCATAAGCTTACCATTAAAAACTTTTGTCTTGCAGGATAATCTCAGCCAACCAGAACTAGCCAAGTGGGAAGATGAAGGATTTTTTTATTCATGATTCTTTATGTGTTTAGGAATTAGGAATGTATATGATGAGTGAATGAAAGTGAAAGGGTCAAAATAATCATTTTCTTACATCCTTTCTGTATTAAATGCAAAAGAAGAAGTAAAAGATTTGATGGAGGCCTGTTGAGGCTATTGTCAAAGAAGAAAAAATAGAAAATATGTTTAAAGCCTCCTGTATCTTCCTGTTGTGGCAATTGATTTTACTGCAAAAGTTGGAGCTGCTCTTGATAGTCTCCCATCCCCACTCTGCATCTGCTTTTCCTTTTTGACTGTGAGGTTGGTAAATAAACTAGGAAAGCATGGGTCAGTTTTTACCGGTTTTGACAGGTATATGGATGAGCAACCATGATTTAGAGACTGCTTTCTTTTGTAGTGGGTTGCATTTCCACATTTGTCTTTACCAGTTTGCATGCACCAAATTCTCATGATTACCTTCTAGTAAGGACCACTTAGAACAGGTGCAAGCAGCCAACAAAAGAAAACTGCCATGATTTTTATACTAAGTGGACAAATAAATAACCAAAAACAAACGCATGCACTAGAACCCTCACCCAAGAAAAAAAATCATTAAAAACGTGAAGGGTGGGATTATTTTTCTAGTTTTACATTAAAATTAAATAACAGAGGAAAAGAATTCATGAATTTTTATTACCTAAAGTGAGAGCAGAAGCACAGAATAAAGGAAGTTTTCTGATAGCTATCTGGGCCTTGGTGATTATTTACTGAAAAAGGTGGTGTACTTCGTCTTCATAGACTTGACAAGCAAACCAAATTTTACAGTCCTGCCAGTTTATGTCGAGAAGTCATGATTTAGAGATTCTTTCCTAACGGAGAGATTGCTATCAGCCTATCATCACTTCTGTATGTTTCTGCTAAAAGTCTGAAACAACAGAAGCACTAAAACCAAATTAGCAGAGAAGGTGCTTAACTTTTTTTTATTTTTCAGAAATTAAAAAGTTTGAAACCCACTAAATAAACTTGGGTTGCATTAGGTGTCAGTGTGGTTCCTTCTTTTTGTTCTTTGCCTGTCCAATCTCTCCTTCCATGATCCATCCGTGGGCTCCGGTGATGGTCTCAAAAACCCAACAGGAACAATAACTCAAATTTAGTAAATTGGTTTTCAAAACAGAGCTTCCAAGTCATATTGTTAATTGTTTCTGGAAACAAATGAGAAGCTAGTGGCAAAGAAGTTTAATTTATTCTGCAGTCACATTTCCTAAATATTTTAAGTGGCATTTGGAAGTGAATATACAAACAGATATTTGGCTTTATACATCGATCAAATAAATAAACATCACATGATCTCAGGCCTAAAAGTTTCCTACAATTAATTGCCATCCAGTAAGAATAAAAAATTATCAGTAGATTAGCAGACGTCTACTTATCATTAAGAACTGTAGCTGGCATCTTGGTTTCTGTTTATTCAGAAACCATTGACAATTAACATACCAAGCTACGAAAGAATTTGTAAAAAATAGTTTTTCCTACACTAATGTAGTCTACAGTGCCAGCTGACTGCAAAAATTTTGCAGCTGTGCGGACAACCTTCTTCTTCTTCTTCTTCAGTGCAATGGTGCATTTGGTTTGCCAAAAACTTCCATTTTTCTTATTTCACGATCTGCAGCAATTTTTTTGTCAAACCCGTCCAAAGCCATCTGAGTGTCTCGGCATTCAGGGGAGCAATATGCAGTTAGGTATCTGCATCATCAAAATTTCAGGTCATATTAGTATCAGTGTGAAACATCACTTATTTTGATGTAATTTAATCTAACAAACAAGGAAAACGTACAACATTTCAACAAGTTGCTAAAAATGCATAACATGCATGAAATCAATAAAAAACAAGTATCTGTAATATATAAGGTAAACCAGATAAAACAAATAATTGGGGTTGCCCTGTTTTCACAAATAATATACTTACTTCCCTCTAGTTTTCCACATTTGTACATAGCTTCTACATACTATGAGTAATGCTACACAAATCACATTCTTTGCTTATTACATCACTAGTAGAGTGATACATAAAATTTAAGGAGATCACAAACTGAAATTATATATATTAACATTTTGGCGCTATAGATTAGTTCCGAGATTTGAAATGCTATTTGCCTAAAAACCCAATTAGAAAAAAGAAATTAAAGCAAAGTCCACTTACGTACCCATACATGTGGACGTCTTTATCACGTGCGAGTTGCTTCTTGCACAAGGAACAGCACTTGAGGAAAGCTCTGAACCCTTCATCAGGCTGCTCCTTAAAGACGTAGTCGCTTTCCTCCTCAGTCGGCGAATTCAACCTAAAGATACTCTCCTGAGGCTGAGACTGAGGCTGCTTCTCCAGCTGTTTGATTTTTGGCCTCTGAGGCCTTTTCTGCCGCGCCGGTTCCCACAGAGGCACAGACGGCTGAAGAGGCTGAATATGGGTGTACAACCCTGTCTCACCCTGACTTGATGAGCGGAGAAGACGGCACCGTTTTGAAACCATTGCCTGCAACTGGGTTCTGGGTTCAAGAACAAAAGACTTGGGCTTTTAATGGTTTTGAAGCAGAAATCACAGGGATTAGGATATGGGTTTTGGGTAAAAATGTTCAAGATGAAGTCTTTTTTATGTTTAGTGATTCAAATTGGGGAGAGTGAGCTAGAATTAAGGTTTTTGTGTGAAAGTATTAGTCTTGCAGAAGAAGGAAAAGTAAAAGAAAGAGGGAGGGAGTTGCTAGGTTAGAACTATTGGATTTCTAGGGGGTAGTGGTTGATTGGAGGGAGCAGTGACTGGGAGAGAAAGATGGCTATATATTATTTATATATGAATTTCATTTAATCCTCAGAGAATGTGGAGAAGGATATTTCTCTTGAAAATTAGTTAGGATTCTGAATTCTTTTCCCATAACGGTTATGACAAGATTTGCCGCCACTTGAAGAAGTTTGTGTTCGAGCCCTTTACGGATTGTGATTAGTTGCGTTTCGTGTTTAAAATGGATTTTCCGTCCAGTTTTTGTTTTTCCAAATTTGTGTGTTTAAAATTTATTAAAAAAAAAACCAGCGTATATCCGAGCGGCTATACTAGAACCCCGAATATAGCCGTGCGTCTATGCTTTTTGAAAAATTCGCGATAGTATAGCCGGCTATACTATTTGTAGAAAGAGGGGGGAACCGCTTAGCGATTTGGCGCCGACGTGTCGAAACCAGTATAGCCGCACGGCTAGCCTATTTAAAAAAATTACCGTTGTAAAGCCGCACGGCTATACGATTTTTTGAATAAAACGTAGTATAGCCGGGCGGCTATACTTGTTTTGGGTCCTACGATTCAAAATCAATATACTTGATGATGGTGGTAGAAGGAAGGGGACGCTATGAAATGGCAGGTACCTGCCCACACCTCAGGAGCCAAGGCCAAGCAGAAAGCATGGATCAAGTACAAGAAATTCAACAGTACAGGAAGTTCAGTGCGGACCTATCACCTGGTGATGTTTTTGTGGTCCCAGCTGCTCATCCTACTGTTATTGTTGCCCAAAACAACAACAAAAACAACAATGGCAACCAAAACCAGAACCTGAGGCTGGTGGGGTTTGGAATCAATGCTCAAAACAACATGAGGAACTTCGTTGCAGGTACTCATTGATATACTTCATTAATAATTAATTTATTACCTAGGTGTACTTATATATATTAACCTTGCTTTGTTATATATTCGTAGGGCAAGAGAACAACATAATGAAGGAGATGGAGAGAGAGGCTAAGCAGCTGGCATTTGGTCAGGAAATGGAACAGATATTCAGCAAGCAGAAGCAATCTTACTTCGTGCCGATCCAGCAGAGCCGCCTGGCTTCAGCTTTGGACTTCTAAGTTCTAAATTAAGTACTTGTATAATTAATAAGCAGTGGTAATTAGGAAATAAATCATGTAAGGAGAGTGAGCTTTCTGTGTGTAGAAAAAAAGCTCTAGCTTTCTGTTAACGCAATGTATCTGTATCAACCGTGGGATGTATTTCTGGTGCTTATAAAATAAAAGCTTTATTTTGTAAGTGAGATCATTCAGATTTGAGATTGAGATCAATCTGACTTCAATCAAAGTGAGAGTTGAATTCTCTTAAAATATATCAAACAGTACATGCTTGCATAATTGGGCCTTCAGCTTCCTGCGGGCAAGTTATATCCCTCATCTCTGGGGAAAACAATTCAGGGCTCATTGTATGACAGCGTCGCCGACGCCGGCAAGACTTCTATGGCAGGACACAGAGGAAGCAAGAAGAGTGGAAATCAGGAACAAGATCAACAAAGAAAGCTTGGCTCTCATATCCTGATCACCACCACCATCATGCTTGCTTTGCTTAGTTACTAACTATTGAAAATGTGACACAGTGTACTTATGCACATGTACATTTGGTTATGCATATTACATGCAAGGTGACCAGCTAGCTACAGTGTCCCAGGTATATGTGACAAAAATGACGCTCATTCTTGTCCTTATAAGTTATAACTATGTATGGTGGAGGGGGACAGAAACTCTTTTGCGACGTGTTGTATTTAGCATTATTGTCTCTATCTCTCTCGTCACGCGTTGAATATAATTATATTCCTCAGGCTTGAAACCCCAGGAATATAGCATTGCCAAGAGAATGGAGGAACAGCTTAGCCTCTTCGAACAAGAGCATCTCCAACATATACTACAGCCAAAATTTGTGAACAGCTCCGTTAATAAATGATTCAATCTCATTAGCAATGCAACCTTAACAATTGTTTTGGCGCAATTACAATTGTTCTGTCAACCAGTAGCAATTCCTTGACACTCCGTATGAATGTAGGAAAATAATTCAGAATTTATTCAAATCAAATTAAAGCAATAAACTTCTGGTTACCAAAAAAACAATGCCTTATATCCTAATCGTCATTAATGAGTAACGACATGAAAACTTCAACAATTCGTGTCGATTTGCAGCATGAGCATTCACCATATTCTGCGTAGAACACGTGGCTTTTTCTCTGCATCAAAAGTATGCCTGTCGCTATTGACACAAAGGATGAGCATCGCCGCGTCCACCAACCCAGTTCCAATTCCTGGCTTCTCAATTACATGCACCGCAACACGTTCGCACCTCAGCTGTCTCATTTGCCATACGCCCTCACCACCTTGCTCGATCAAATGCCACACTCAAAACAAAACCAGAAGACTCTACGCAACCTCACACTTTTTCATAAGATTCGCAACATAATCTCGCATAAATCCATTCTATGCAACCGTATATATTTGTCCTCATTTTGCACCCTCACGTGAAGACCAAACTCTGGAGAAGCTGTGTCTCGAACCTTCTTGTGAATTTTGAAATTGGACACGTCAGTTTTGTCACCTGTTGACACTAGTCGCCTTGCATGTAATGCGTATAGACAAATGTCCATGCATGCTCAGCCTTGAGCTTCTATAAATGCTTGAACCCTTTATGCCATTTTTCCATGGAAGATAAATTTAGAGTGTCATAGTTCAATAGCAAGCAAGTTAGCAAACCATGGTGATCCATATCAAACCTAGGCTTCCTCTGTTCTTGTTCCTTTCACTTTTTGTTCTTGCTTTCTCTGTGTCTTTCACTCTTGGTCAAGATAGAGAACAGCAATGTGAAAAACAGTGTCAAGACTTTAAGAGGCCTGTAATTCATTCTGAGTGTATCTACCAATGCAGGATGTGGGGGCCCTGGTCGCTTCCTCCGGCGGAAAGTTCTAATCATCACAAGAAACAGCAGCAACATGAGCAGGAGCAGCAATGCAAGCAGCGTTGCCAATCGCAGCATGGCCATAGGCAGCAGCAGCAATGTCAGCAAGAGTGTCATGAGCAAATTAGGCAACAGAAAGAGCGCGAGGAAATGCAGCAAATGTGCCAGCAGCGCTGTGAGATGCAGGGGAGCGGTGGTCAGCAGCAACAGAGGCAACAGTGCCAAAGACAGTGTGAGCAGCAAGTCGAACAACTCAAGCAGTGCCAGATACGGTGCCAGATGCAAGGACAAGGCCAACAACAAGAGCAATGCCAAAGAACGTGCAGGCAGGAACTTGAAGTCCAGCAACGAAGGCAACAACAAGAACAAGGACCTGGCGCAGGGGACAACAAACTAGAGGATGAGACACTAAATGGTGAGCCCAGAAGGCGATTCGAGCAGTGCCTGCAGGGTTGCGAAAGACAACAGCAGGGTCAGGGAGAACAAGAGCAATGCCCACGACAGTGCAGGGAACAATTTGACAAGGAGAAAAGGCAGTACCAGCAGTGCAAGCAGAGTTGCGAAAAGTCATCACAGCATGATGATGAAAAACGCCAATGCAAACAACAGTGCAAACAACAGATAAGTCTGCAGCAGGGAGGAGGTAACCAAGAAGAAGATGATGATGCACTAAATGGCTCGGGCTATGGTGGTGCCAAAGAGCGATTCGAGCAGTGCAAGCTGAGTTGTCAGAGTCAACAAGGTCAGGGACAACAAGAGCAATGCCCAAAACAGTGCAAGCAACAATTTGAACATGAGAAACATCAGTACAAGCAGTGCAAGCGGGGTTGCGAAAAGCAAGCACTTGATGATGATCAAAAAGAACAATGCAAACAACAGTGCACACAACAGATGAGTCAGCAGTATGGTCAGCAGCAGGAAGGAAGCACAGGAGGAGGTGGTCCGAACCAACAACAAGAGGAGGAGGGGCAGATGGGGAGTCAGGGTCAGAGCCAGAGCCAGAGCAACAACCCCTTCTACTTCCCATCACACAGGTTTCAGCCAAGGTTCCAGTCTAATGAAGGTGGGCTTTATGTGCTTGAGAGGTTCACCCAGAGACAGAGTGAGATTCTTCGCGGCATTAAGAACTACCGCTTGGCCATCTTTGAGGCAAGGCCTAACACTTTTGTTCTCCCACACCATTGTAATGCTGAAGCGATTTTCGTTGTTCTGAGCGGTGAGTTAGTCCTCTACTTCTTGTTATATGCAATTATATTATTAGCAACTGACATGAGTTTTTGTTGCTTAATTTGAAATTACAGGACAATGTACTTGTACCCTTTTGATGCAAGACAGAAAGGAGTCCTTCAACTTGGAACACGGAGATGTGATTAGAGTTCCCGCGGGGGCTACTACCTACTTAGTTAACAATAACAGTGATGAGACTCTTCGAATTGCAAAGCTCCTTCAGCCTGTTAACAATCCTGGCCGATTTGAGGTAACCAATCGTCACCTCACTTCATCATTTGGTATATGTTTTTTTTTCTTTTGATGAGCTATTAATTACCCGTAACCCAATTACATTTTCACACAGCAACTTCAAGTTTGTTTTTCTTTTCTTTATAAATATTTTGAGTAGGTAATTTCTAACATTGCTTTAACATTCTGCAGGAATTCTTCCCTGCCGGTTCCGGAAATCCTGAGTCATACTTCAGCGTTTTCAGCAATGACATTCTTGAATCTGCCTTTAATGTAAGCTCAATTCCCAAGTTTCTTTCTTTACCCTTGATTTGTTTTTTTTTGTTCACACTAATTAATTAGGCTCCAATTAACAATTATCAATTATTTGATCAGACCCCAAGAGAGCAGCTAGAGCATGGCTTTAAGCAGGGCCAGCAGCAGCAGGGCCAAGGCATAGTCATGAGAGCCCCAAAAGAGCAACTCCAGGCACTGAGTCAGGCCTCCTCATCCAGGCGTAGAGGAGACCGTCAGTCTCAGGGTCCATTCAATCTGAGACAACAAAGACCTGTGCACTCTAACAACTATGGCCAGTTCTGTGAGGCTCGGCCGGAGGAGTTCAATCAGCTCCAGGACATGGATGCCTCAGTCAGTTGCATTGAGATCAACCAAGTAATGCAACATTAATCAGAAAATAAAATTTCCAAATCCCATATGCATTTCATATACATGTCTGAATATAATTTTTCATATTAATCTGGAGCTACAAATAGCATGTGTATTTGTTGTCGAGGGAGAGCTTGTGGCTGATTTTTTTATTATTTTATTTTATTTTATGTTTTGCTTCAATTTTCTTGTGCAGCAAGCTATGATGGTGCCACATTTCAATTCAAAAGCAACACACTTGATTATGGTTGTGGAAGGAAACGGACTTGTTGAAATGGCCTGCCCATACTTGGCAAGCCAAAGCCAAGAAATTATGGGACAGCAAGAGCAGCAGGGAGAACAGAGTGGAAGGTACATGAAGGTCACCGCTCAGCTATCACCTGGTGATGTTTTTGTGATCCCGGCTGGTCATCCTGTTGCCCTTGTTGCCCAAAATCAGAACCTCCGAATCCTGGGATTTGGACTCAATGCCCAAAGCAACACGAGGAACTTCCTTGCAGGTAATTAATTAAGTCAGAGACATTGCTTAATTAGCTGATGATCAATTTTTTAAATATAAATTATGTGGCTTTGTATATAATTATATGTACTGTGCTTTTTTACACATGCAGGGCAAGAGGACAACATAATAATGCAGATGGACAGAGAGGCTAGGCAGCTGGCATTTGGGCCAGAGATGGAACAAATTTTCAGCAAGCAGCAGCAATCTTACTTTGTGCCAACACAGCAGGGAAGAAGCAGAAACCACCACTTGTCTTCAATTTTGGAGTTTGCTGGCATGATCTAACTTCTAAGCACTAATAATAGTTAGTATGTGTGCGTAAAAAATAAAAATAAAGTTGTGCTTGAACTAAGAACAGAGAGGGTAGTGTACTAAGCCGCGCGATGTAATAAAAGTTTGTATCTAGATCTAGCAGTTCTAGACTACTGGTAGTAGGCGGTGCTAGGGTTTTCGGGTAGAGCTCATATAGAGTGAGCTTTTTGTGTGTGAAAAGGCAAAATAGCTCTATCTCTGTGCCATATAAATGAATAAATAAATGAAGTTATTTCTCTTTGTGCTTATTATTGGCATTTCTGTCCTGTGAAAATAATCGCTGTCAGATTTACTGTGAGAAAAATCAGCTGTGAGAGAAAGCAGTTTGACGTTTGGTAAATTTTTTGTTAAAAGTGTTGTTGGTACTAATTCCAGTATAATCAGAAAATAATTGCTATATAATCATTAAATCTAACGCCTCTTCGAAACTGATTCATGCATAATCAGAAAATGAAAACACCTCATTAGCTGCTTTCCCTTATAGCTTTCTCTCACAACAATTTTTAACAATAAGTGATTTTCTCGTAGTTTACCAAACGGGTTGAGCTTCTCAATTTAAAAAAAAATCTCTTATCATTCAAAATAAAAATAAGCAATGCCAAACGAGCACTAAGCCTTGTGGGATTTCCGTTCTTATATTAGATAATCAACCAAACAGACTTTAGTGTTTTTATTTTTTAAATATCCGTTCTTATATTAGATAATCAACCAAACAGACTTTAGTGTTTTTATTTTTTAAATACAAGCGATAAGTCTTGTGGGATTTCCGTTCTCATATTAGATAATCAACATATTCTACCAAACAGACCCTTTAGTGTTTTTATTTTTTAAATACAAGCGATAAGTCTAAATTGTTGAATAATATACAGGGCCCTACATCAAATACTAAATAAAATAGAAAGAGTCTCACATCATATACTTAACAAAATATATTATATTCCATATAATAAATGGCTTAATTCTTAATAAAATCGAGGTTTTTTGTGTTAACAAAATATATTATATTTTATTCTTCACTCTTAATAACATCGAGGTTTTTTTGGATATAAAATTCCATCTTTGTTAGGGGTAGGGAGGGAGTTTTTTATTATACAGATTATTAAGATGACATGGGGTTTTTAAGAGGCTTTTTGTATAAAATCTCATCCCTGTTAAGGGGAGAGGGGGAGAGGGAGGAGATTTTTCACACACATTATTAAGATGACAAGATGACACGGGGTTTGAATTTGAGACAAGTATAGCGTTTGAATCTGAGACTAGTATTGGGGTTTGAATTTGAGACCAGTATAGCGTTTGAATCTGAGACTAGTATAGCAAAACAAAAGAAAGTGGATTTTTTCACACACATTATTAAGATGACAAAATGAAATAGGGTTTGAATCTGAGATCAGTGCGTTTGAATCTGAGACTAGTATAGCAAAACAAAATAGATGCGGGAGTGCAAGAAATGTAAACAATTTTGTAGAAATAAAATAAAATGGGAATTGAAATAGCAAGGGACATTAAAGAGATAAATTTGTATACAATAGGAAATGGAAATTGAAAAGTAAAGTAACGAGTATCATCAGAGTTGAATATCGGAACAGCATGGGCAGCATTGTGCAGAGCAAATGAAGCAACCAGAGCAATACTGCAAGTAACGTTGTGGAAGGCAAAGATATTATGGTCAACAACAACAAGAAGGCCAAGGGACGTGCAGTCAGCAATTCGAAGAGCAATTTTATATATTCCATTGCTACGAGGAAAAGTATATGGCCTATGTAGAAAATGCTTACACAAATATTGCACTTTGATTTTGGCTTTTACCACACGATGTTTCCAAATGATATCAACCAAAAAGATAAATTAACAGAAAGTAACTGCGAGAGGACAGAAAGGTGTAACAAGAATTTTGTTGAAATTGAACCTGAGATAACACTGAGACATTAGAGAGACTTGCACAAAATACGATGGAAACTATATAGAGACTTAGTTTAAAAAGGAAAGTAAATATTCATTTAAAAAAAAAGAGGAAAGTGAATAAAACATGCACATATATAGGCTATTGATACTATTCCTTATTAACCCTGTCGTCCAATCATAATACATGGATAAATTATACAATGTGGCCGTATTACCGTACCATTCTATAGTTTCTCACACATAGCATTCTTGATTCTAGACGTGATATTGGCCATAATTGAATACTGTGGAGCATGATTGCATTTATGATCGATATTTCCTTCTTCATAATTATCACCATGAGAAGCATGAGACAAGACAATTGTCCTTCAGTTTCTCCTAGCTTAATGAAGTAATATCTTTTAGAATCTAAGACAATACAATTGTTTTCCAGACAATTTTCAAACCAAATCTAGTTATAAATTAAAGGCAGTTAGATTTTCATCCATAAATAATATTGTTTTTTTCTTTCAAGAAACCATGTATTAGATTGAATTTTAATTTTAATCCTTTTTATTTTGAATACCTATTATAGTATTCATTTTAATTTTAATCCTTTTTTTTTATAGAGAAATTTAATCCTTTTAATTTGGCATGAGTGACTATTTGGGATCTGAATCATCTGTTTAGATTTTCTCTATTAGAATCTGCTTAACTTTTATTCTTCACATGCCACCTCATTTAAATCTCATTCAAAGACTGAAAACATGACACATACTTTCCCTTTCACTTCTCCATATTAGCTGCAGTAAGCCAAATTCCTTTTTCTCATTTCTCCCAAACCTCTTAACTCTTCTTCCCTTTCAATAATGTTGTATTTTTCTCCATACTTTTTAGATGACCACACCTATGAATCTACGATTTGGATTGAAAAATTCTTTAATAAATTCTTTATTATTACAAAATTGAACAAAAAGAGTATTACTTATTATGCGTGCAAAATTGAGGTCACGATTATTAAAGGATGGATTGACAAGTATTGTATGAATCTCTTCAGCCATGAATCAAACATTTCGAAATGAAGGTTCCGGTGGAACTGGAACTACAAATAATTCAAATAAAAGCCTTACTCCACGATTTAGTATTCAATACGTTGGCTTCAAAATGAAGACTATTGTGTCCTTTGAATACGATAGCTTTTAGCAGAAAATTTCAAGTGAGTCGTGAAGTAATTTGTTTTTATTTTATTTTAATTATAGCTTTAACAGAAGAAGAAGAAGAGAGGCTGAAGCAATATATATATATATATATATATTTAAATTAGTAGGGGTTTTTTAAAATTTTGTTTTGTGTGAAGTATAACTAGTTTTATTTTTTTGGTTTAAGAATGTGGTGTCAGCTATTAAGCCCTTGGCTTAAAATTCAATGTTTGAAGATGTTCCAATTTCGAAACATCGTTTTCTCACTAATCCATAAAATAAAAAATAAAAAACCAACAATCTAATTTTACATATGAATTAAGATTATTATTGTAGTTGTCTTGATTTAAAATCAAATATGGGTCAACGCGTGTAGCCTAATAAAAAATTGCATTATTTTGTACACCAGTGGTCACAGGTTCAAATCCTCATAACACTTTAGTATGGTGTATGTAAGAAACAGTGGCAGTCTATGTTTTGGAGGCCCTAGATGAACATCCTAAATGGGGCATTCTACTCTATATGTATATTTATGTAAATTTTTTTTCTTCAGTAAGTTAAAAAAAATTATATGAACTCAAATTCACAATTGTAACATAAAAGAAACAATTAATATGCATTAAAACATCACTTAAATATCACATGTCTTGCATTTTCGATTCAAAAGTATCAATTAACTGTACATAATCAAGTTTTTCTACCTTGTCTTTTTTTAGTTTTCTAATTGATTCAACTAGGTTAATTGATTTAAGTTATTGAGTTTCTTCTTTTTAATTTTGAATTGAGTAATTGGGCAATTTTTGTTTTTTGTTTTTACAATGAGTGGACCTTTATTGAATTTCATTTTTTTTAATTTTGAATTGAATGATTGAGTAATTGTTTTTATATTTACAATAATTGGTTTGGACCTAACACAATATTTATATATTATATATTATTAAAAATAATAATATAGGTATGTATATATAGGATATTATACAAATTGGGGCCCTGGGCACAAGCAGTAGTGAGAAACCCCCATCCTCTATTATTTAGACTATTATTTGTATTTTTTAAAAATAAAATCAAATGTGTATTCAATTTATCTTAGACTTCTCTTTAGCCGTTGAATGACGGCCTACAATCAAATCTAAGTCGTAGGTGCAAAATGTCTACTCAACAATTCTCGTATTATAGTTTTGACTATGATTTCAATTCTTTTTCCTGTAATTTCAATTGTTTTAATCCAGTTCACGTAGTTAATTATATTACTCGTTGCAATAGATCCAAAATTAAATGTAGAATAAAAAAAAAAAAAAAAAAAAAAAAAAAAAAATTATTGGACGGGTATTGTAGTACATGGACAAAATAGATAAAATAAAAAACATAAGAAAGGGCCCACCACATAATAGAACGCATCACATAGTACATACAGCCATTTTAGTCTCTGCAAATCCAAACCTTTTTCGGCCTTACTTCCAGATTCTATCCATCTCCGTGAAGAAGATTTATCAGCGTCCATTGAGTTCAAAACGACACGTCCATTTTGTCACCTTGAACACCAGTCACCTTGCATGTTATCCCCATAGCCAAATGTACGCATGCATGCTTAGCCTTGAGCTTCTATAAATACCTCAGCTCTCTCTCTCAGCTATTCTCACACTTCAACACACAGTATATATTTGAGCACAGGCATGGCGACTATGACCAAAGCTGAGCTTCCTTTGTTGGTTTTGTTCCTATCCACTCTTCTCCTTGCTACCTCTGTACCTTCTGCTCGTGCCCAGGTCACCTGCGAGGAAGGATGCTATTCGATATCTGATCAGTCGAAAGTGGGGGAGTGCTTGCAAATGTGTTCATCCCATGGCCAGTCATGTGAAGATCGTTGCATGAGGGAAGCAAGGTGGCCGCAGCAGCAAGAACAGTGCCTGATAATGTGCCGGCAGCAGGAGCAGGGACATCACTTGCCGTGCCGTGAGCAATGCATCCGGAGTCCAGACCGAGAGATGTGCGAAAGAGCTTGCCAGCAGCAGCAAGGTCAAGGAGGAGGGCGCCAGTGCCTGCAACAATGTAAGATGATAACCAGAGATCCGAGGGAGCGGCTACAGTGTGTAAGGACGTGCATGCAGGGGCAGCAGCAGCAGCAGCAAGTTGAGCAGCAGTGCCGGCAACATTGCCAATCGGAGCGCGACCCAATGAGACAGCAAGAGTGTCAGGAATACTGTGTTGGGCAAATGATGCAGCAGGAATACGAGCAGCAGTGCCGGTCGCGTTGCCAATGGGAGCGCCCCCGGAGGGAGCAGCAGGAGCAGTGCCAGGAAGAGTGTACTGAGAAAATAAGGCAGCTAGAGCAATGCCAGGAAGGGTGCAAGATGCGGGGGAAATATGGTCCACAGCAACAGGAATGTCAAAGGATGTGTAGGGAGCAGTTTGAACAAGGACAAGGAATTAGAATGGTAGCCTGATGCAATAGAAGTTGCATGCATGTAAGTAGTTGGCTGTGCTAGAGTTTAAGAGAGTATTATAGCTCATGGAGAGTGAGCTTTAACTTAAATTGTATGTGTGAAATAAAGAGCTCTAGCTTAATAAAACTATAATGATGACAAGTTAGCTAGTACTTTTAAATCTTTGTGCATGTGTTTTCAATTCTGACTTAGCTAATTCAAATCTTTTTGGCCATAAAGCAGCACTTAGAGCATGTATCGTTTGATCAAACATCCATTATCTTTTCTTTACTCAAATGGACTGCAAAACCATGTAAGACCACTTCTACTTCGGCTTAGTTTGGGGTTGCTGTGCTTTTAAAAAAAACAGCTTATTTTTAAAATTTTCTGACTTTAGGTGTTTGGTAAAACAAGTGAAAGCCGCTTTTTTCCAAAATCACGAGTCAGTGGCAGCAGATTTGAGAAGCGGGTGGCGAGGTGCTTTTAAAATCTGCTTCTTTTTGAAGCATGCGGAGCTTTTAACTTTCATAATCCCTATACTACCCTCATATGTTTTTAAAAAATGTTTTTGCCATAATTTCCACTCCCCCAGAGTTCACGCCTCCTCCATCTCCATTTTTAAAGCTTCCTGAGGTCAATTCTCAGAAAGAAAAGTTTGAGAAATTCTTCCAAACAAGTGTTGTGATGCTTTAAAAATTTGTTTGCTACTCTGTGAAAGATTAGATGAAATCTACATCTATCTTTCTCTTTGAAGAAGGTGCTCTCTACTCATTATTAATGTTAACACAAATATCTTCCTCTTCTCTCAAAATAGTTCATAGTGTTGGTAGAATTTTGATTCTAGGCATAAACGACAAGTGGGTTTAGAGGCCGTCAAAGCCTTTGGCATGGTTAGAAGGTGGGAATATCTTAGGGTAAGAGATGGGTTGGCAGGTGGGAGATGGGTGGCTTGTATCAGAGAAGCCCTAAACTTGCTCAAGCTAAAAGAGCAAAGGAGTTGCAGAGAAGGGGGACGAAGAAGAAGGGAGAAGAAAGGAGGGGGAGGGTCGAGAGAAAAAGGGGCTTTGAAGGAGAAAATATGGAGAGATTAGGAGGGAGAGAGAGACAAGGATAGAGAACTACAGAGAGAGAGAGAGAGAGAGAGAGAGAGAGAGAGAGAGAGAGAGAGAGAGAGAGAGAGAGAGAGAGAGAGAGAGAGAGAGAGAGAGATTGAAATTGCAGGTGTTTGACTCTGAAATTGTAGTGCTCGACTTTGTGGCGTATATATATACCTCCACAAACACGAATTTGTATGAAACTGTTGCATTTGGACATTTTTGGATTGGGGTTGCTTGTGTTGGAATTGGGTTTGATTGGAAACTTCAGGTGTCTATATAACAAGAATTTGGATGAGGAGTTGGTTTGGATGAAGATAGCCAAAAGAAACGGGGCCTGGGAAGAAGAAAAGAGAAATAAGAGAAGAGGAAGAAGAAAAAGAAAGAAAAAGAAAAAAGAAACGGACATCCTAAGAAAAAATGGATGGTTTGATCAAACATCCATTATCTTTTCTTTACACAAGAAAAAAATGCGATGGCTATAATTACTTAATAATTGGGCATCCTAATCAAAACTCAAATGGACTGCAAAACCATTTAACTAAGACGGCTCGGCTTCTACTTCATCTCCTAAATGAATGAGATAGATGCGTATATCCCCATCTCATACGCAAAGGCAAAAAGTTGTCGAGAAAGGTCTACTCGGCAAAACTTTATTGGGCAAGATCAAAATTTACTGGGAAAGATCTATTGCGGCGAACTTTGTCGGAAACATTTGCCGGTAAAGGAAATGTTGTCCGGAAGAGCAATATTCGCCAGCAAAACATTGTCGTGAAAGATCAAAATTCACCGGAAAAGGTCTACCCGTTGAACATGTGTAGCAGACAGATCCTGCAGCTTGCATTTTCGTCATATGATAGATGGACTAAAATGTTTTTTGTTTGGTGGATCAACTAGCCAAAAACACCTTATTATAATAATAATTTTTTAAAATTTTCTGGCATGCAGCCGGTCCCCGTAATAATTGAACAGAAATTGAACAAGTTGCGTAAATTAAACTTTAATAAAATGCAGCAGAACTAACTGCATATTAATAGGTATGTAGTAGAACTTGAATAATTTCGTGACAATCATACTTACAATTTGCTGTGCATCGTGACAGAAATTTTCTTTAATAATATATGAAAGATTCAAAGATCTGACCTGGAATATTTACTAATGATATGTTCCCATGCATCTTTTTCTCTTCATCTTCTTATCCTAAAATGGGGTATGTGGGCCTAATATTGTCATTGAAATTATTGATGTTTAGTAGTTGTGGTGGTATTTCAACTGCGTGGACTGGAGGTTGGTGGATATTTCAATTTTATTGTTAAGTTTCCATATTCTCTCTCTCTCTCTCTCAAACAAATCCCATTTTCTCTTTCACTGTCTGGTTAATACAGGCTTCGAGTAAGTAGTGCATTCAACACTGATCAGGCATTGTTTTTCATGGATAGCACCAGACTAGCTTCAGATCCGGAGAAGCAGACGCAGAAATCAGAGGGGTTAGTACTTCTTTACATAAATAAATAAATAATTTTTGTATAGATTATTAGAGAGAGAGAGAGAGAGAGTTTCAATGATGGGTGCAATTTTGGTAATGTTTGTTTGTGTCATTTTCCAGACGGGTTAAAACGGGGAAAATGTATGCTGCCGCAGTAAAGGAGATTTGTAATCCACAGGGGCGATACGGTTACATATGGAATAAGATGTTTGTAATATCGTGTGTGTTTGCTGTCTCACTGGACCCTTTGTTCTTTTACATTCCAATCATCGATCAGCTAAACAAGTGCCTTCAAATGGACAAAGTGTTGCAGACTGTTGCTCTTGTTTTACGATCACTCACGGATATCATTTTCCTGCTGCATTTCATCTATGAAATCTGTGACGGTCTCAAAACTCAAACCAAGAAAAAGTCGTCGCAGTCACCGTCGCCGTTGGGGACTAAATTGGCATCAGATACCCTCAAAACTATGGCCCCAATCACCCAGAGCAATGGACATTCCAATTCCAAGGTAGAAACTGGAGAACATTCGGGTCCCAAATCAAAATTAAGGTTGATTGGAGTTGCCCAGGAAATAATGTCGTGGTTATCTGTCTCCATCATAGTTGACTTTTTCGCTCTCCTTCCCATCCCGCAAGTAAGACAAATTGAACTCTAATTAATCATTGTGTGTAGCTCTTAATGTTAAGTTAACCACATAGTTAATCTAATTAACCCTTCTTTTTTTTTAAATTTTATTTTCTCCAGCTGCTAATAGTAGCTACTTTTGACAAAATGAGGGGCTTTGGATATTTGGAACATAAAAAGGTTATGAATATCCTTCTTCTTGGTCAATACCTACCAAGGATGTACCGAATTCACATATCCTCCAAAGAACTCAAAAGGACTACTGGAATATGGGTTAAAGGTCTATTCAATTTTTTCCTCTATATTCTTGCAAGTCATGTAAGTCTCATCTATTCTTTTTTTTTTTTTTTTTTTTTTTTTTTTTTAATGTAAAATGATTTTTTTAATTTTTTAATTTTTTTTTTTTGGTGTGTGTGTGATGTTTTTTACTTATTTAATTTTTTTTTTAACAAGGTGGTAAGAAAGTTGTTAAAATATTTAGATAAATTGAAGGAAACATATATAAAAGCCATTGAATCTCGTTGTAAATGAACACCATTTGGCTTATGAGATGTATACATAATATTTGACTTGCTAATAACTCAAAAGGAAACCCGCTATTACATTGTTTAATTATAATTTATGTAAGGATAAATTGATTCATGCCAAGTAGAGTTTTCTTTGTAAATAGCAAGAGGAAGGTCTCCCGCACTTACTACTTGATCAGTTGCTAGACGTTTCATGTCTATTGAGGTAATTGGTGTTTTTTTATAGTACAAACGATAGTTTAAACTATCGAGGAGAAGAGATTTTTCACACACACAGTTAAGGATTTGAACACCTCTGATATGCAAGTCAAGGTATTTTTCCATTGGGTTAGACCCATTAACCGGCTAAGTGGTGTTTAATAAAGCTACATATGTATGCATACACACATATACTTATACGTAGGTACCCCTCGAACTTATTTTTGTCACCAATTGTAACAAGACAACTACTTTTTGCCTATTTAATTTCATTAATGTAGAAATTCATAACATCTCCATATATACATGAAGTTTTCTTAATGCATCAATTAATCATTAATTAATAAGAAGTTGGTTAATTCATTTTTTATTTTTAGATACTCGGAGCTTTTTGGTACTTCTTTTCTATTCAACGAGAGATATCATGCTGGCACCAGGCCTGCATAAACCATAAAATCGATTTCGCACAATGTACCAACACTGTCTACTGCAATGGTCAAACTACTACTTCAAGAAATATCACGTTTGTGAACGAGCATTGCCCGTTAGATACCGGTGATAATGCTACGTCGTCATTTGATTTTGGAATATTTCTTGATTCCCTTAAGAATCAAAACACGGAGCACATCAAGTTTGGAAAGAAGTTCTTTTACTCTTTTTGGTGGGGCCTGCGAAACCTTAGGTATGTAGCTCAGCAACATTATAATTGTTTATAAGCAAGCTCATGGGTAATTAGCATCTGTGATACTGCTTGATCATGTGAGTAATATATTTGCAGTAACTTTGGCACGAATCTCACAACAAGTACGTATGTGTGGGAAAACTTGTTTGCAATTCTTATTTCTGTCATTGGCTTGCTGCTATTTCTATATCTGATTGGAAATGTGCAGGTTGGTATATATTGAATTTCTATATCTATATTATAATTTTATATTTGAGCTTAATTAATTCAGGGCCCCTGTTCATCCAATATATATAATGTTGTGGTTTTGTTGGGGAGACAGACTTTTATGCAGATGCAAGCTACAAAATCAGAGGAGATGAGGAAAAAAATTAAGATAAAGAAGCTAGATATACAAAGCTGGATATCCAAAAATAAAGTCCCTGATGATATAAAGAAAGAAATCATGAAAAGCGTAAAGCAAAAACTGAAAGAACACAAAGATGCTGATCTCCAGAATGACCTATACTCTATTCTTCCCGGGAAAACCAGAACATCTCTAAAGCGTTGTCTTTGCATGGACGCATTTAAGACAGTATGTTCCTCAACCACAATCTCTCTCTCTCTCCACTTCATTATCAGTAAGGGATTTGATTAATTATTTTTCAATGAAATGTGTATATATATATGTGTGTGTGTGTGTGTGTGTGTGTGTGTATGTGTAGGTACCCATGCTTGAAAACATGAGTAAGAAAGTGTTGGAAATGATGTGCGAATATCTGAAGCCAGTGATGTACAACGAGAACAGCTTCCCTTTCCGAATGGGAGATCCACTGGATCGCATGCTCTTCATTATTGACGGGACTATGTGGACTTACTCTGATGGTGGTGGCGATGAAGCTGCTGCTTCCCCACCAAATATTTCGACATTATTAGTGGCCACCCTTGGGAAAGGTGAGATTTATGGGGAAGAGCTTCTGAGTTGGGCATCACCCTCTATCACCCAACTTCCGATCTCCACCAAACACCTCAAAAGTCAGACAAAAGTGGAAGCCTTTGCTCTCATGGCCAAGGACTTAGCAACTATAGTCTCCAGGTACGAACTACAGTGGGAAAACAACAAGGGAGACAAATCTCAACAGGTGAAGGAGGACATGGCACTGTCTAAAATATCAACAGTACTAGTCCCTCGATTTCGTTTGACCCGCAATAACAAGCGTCACACGACCTCAACAAAAAGGGTTACAGTAGTGGGTTCAAATAACTTGTCAACAACACCACCGCCGATCAATTAGTATCTGCCAAACTTCGGATATCTTAACATTTGGACTAACTATGTCCTCGCAAACGACCCCTTAACGTCTGCTTGGCCCCAACAGATCATTGTCCCAAAAGTGGTTTTCTTATACCACAAGTGTTGAACTAGCTAGGTACTTCAATATCAATAGCTTTTATGCAAAGGATGAACACATTTCGGCACAATTTCTTACCTTCTTTTTTTCTCCATGAATTACTATCATTATTATTACCTGGAAAAAAAAAATTAACAATCACCAACAAATCCAACAGGGTTCTATATGTGCACCCCTCCTTTTAAACCTAAAAAATAATTATATTACTCTTTTTATTTGCATATTATACAGTCAATAGTTTTGCTAGGGCTGCCAAACGGGGCCATGGCCATTGTAGTTGCTGTAGACCTTGTTGATTGGGCTTCTAAAGCTTTGGTTCAAGAGGTGTGTGGTTTATGAGGGAAAGAAAAGCTATTTTGATTTTGAGTTGGCTCATTTTTTTTTAAACAAGAAACAAATAAGTGATTGGGAGATGAGGAGTTGCCTGGACTGAGGGCGTGTTTCTTTTTTTTCCTCTCTGGAATTTTTTTTTCCTTTCTGATTTTTTTCTTTTGGTTTGCTACAATAAACTGAGATTAATTATTAAACACTAAGATTCATTATTATTTGCTACCCACTCATAGTAGGTGGGTTGTCCAACTTAGCTTAGTTTTTATCACATCGCAATCACTTTAATACTCTACTTAGTTACAAGCTCATGTTACAAGACTCAGTAATTATAAGATCTAATATAAGTATTTGCATCATTCAGTCGTTTTCCAATGTGGGACTCTACTGTCCTAATTTTCAAGTGACATAATTCCTCTATGTTTAGTTGTTGAAGTACTTGTGCATGTAGTGTCTGTTTGTGCCTCATCCTCAGATACAGCAAAATAAAACAAAACATTCGTAAGCCATGAACTCAATAGGAAAGTATCAAAACGGGATTCTACAAACAATCATGAATCTTATGTCAAAGTTTCAATACGTACATACGTATGTAATAAGTAATTTATTTTTTCAACGTCCATTGAACTTCAAGTACTTACTAATTATAATAATTCAAAAAGGCTAAAATATTACTTAAGTGCATATATTAAATTAAAGAAGTTGGTTAATAAAAAAAAAAAAAAAAAAGAAGTAAAAAAAGAAAGAAAAAACAAAAAAAAAACTAATAATTTATATTTTCAAAATTAAAACTGATCTTCAGAACATCAAGAAAGGCCCTGAGTCTATTGATCACTATCTTCAGAAGATTAAAGATTCCAACGATCAACTTTCGGCTGTTGGGGTTGATATCTCTGATGAAGATATCACCATTCTCACTCTTAAAGGTTTGCCTGCAGAGTACAACACTATTAAGGCTATTATTCATGGAAGGGAGAGTGTTTTGTCTATGAAAGAGCTTCGTTCTCAGCTCAAGGCAGAGGAGTCTACTCTTGAAGAATCTGCTCGCCAAATTCCCTTGCTTTCTGCTATGGCTGCTACTCCTCCTGTTTCAGGTTCTGTGCCTCCTTCTGGTATGCCTTATGCTCCTTATTCCTCTGTTCCTATGCATCCTGTGCAATATGATTCTCCTCCATCCTCTGATTTTCGTGGGAATAATTTTCGAGATCGTGGTAAAGGCAGAATGTCCTATAACAATTTTCAACGATTTTCTGGTAAGTCTGGTCATTACAATAACTCCACTGGCTGGGTCTTCTTCTCTGCCTACTTGCCAAATTTGTCACAAGATGGGTCACATTGCTGCTACTTGTCATTATAGATCCACTTCGTCTCACACTGTTGATGTCGAACCTTGTCAGATTTGTTGGAAGCGCAATCATACTGCTCTTACTTGTCATTTTCGAGATAGTTATTCATCTTCTCCTCAGATGAATGCTATGTCTGCTGCAAGTTTCTTCTTCTCCTCACCACGAAGTTTGGATTGCATATTCCGGTGCTACAAACCAAATGACTGCGGATACCAACTTTGCTTGATTTATGATTTCAATAATTAATAATACAAATAAATCTATATAGTTGAAATATTTAAGAAATTACAAAACAAAAAAAAGTAAAGGATGGAGAAAAAAACAAAGGGTCCACAGGCCCTATCCCAAGAATTAAAAAGCAAATATATTAACAGAGAAATTATTAAACAAAAAAATTTAAATAGTAGCGAAAAAAAATTATGCTAGACTTACCACATTTTTATATGCCTTAAATATCAAAATGGTCCATGTGTTTTACCTTATCGGCTAATTTAATCCCCATGTTATTAATTTGGCCAATTTAGTCCTTGTGTTTGTATATGTTAACAAATTTGATCCTTTCCGTCAAAATTATGATAAAACCTAAAAAAAGGAAATTTAAAATTAATTTAAAAATCTGTAATTAATTATAAAGATTTAAAATCAAATAATAGTAATGCTAAAATGATTAAAACCCACACAACCTCAACCTCCAATGGTCCAATGGTCTCGATTCCTGTAGGAAAAAAAAATACAAATTTATAAATAAACCCAATCCTAGACAGTAATTTATAAAAAAACCCAAACACTGTTTAAAACATAGAAACACACCCAAAATCAACCCAAAAATCAACAATTGCATATTTTTTGGGTGTGTTTATAAATGAGTTTTGAGTGTGTTTAATAAATGAGTTTTGGGTGTGTTTCTAAAGTGTTTTTCATGTTGGGTTTTTTTTTAATTTCAGCCCATATTTTAGGTGTATTAGTGAAACTCCAAAAAAAAAGGGTTCTTAGTTGAATTGATGCCTACTCTTTTCTTCCTGAAATTTTTCTTCTCTCTTATGTTTTAGATTTTCTCATACTCTACCCTTCATCTCTCTCTCCTCTCTGATCCATTGGCATGAATGTCATCGACTTTTGCTACAGTGAGGATGATCAATTGGCGGTAGAGCCATCAAGGTTACGATGACCGACTATGAAGATCTTCGTGATTTGTCAAAGAGGAAGTCGAGAGAGAGAGAGAGAGAGAGAGGAGAGAGAGAGAGAGAGAGAGAGAGAGAGAGAGTTATTGTGGTTTAGGTGGGGTTGGAATGGTGGTGAGGGTGGCTATGGGTTTGGGGTTGCAGTGGTGATGGTGAGGGTGGCTGGTTTTGGGAGGTGGTTGAGGTGTGTGCGTGAAATTGGGGAAGATAAAATTTAAAAACAATATATTCCATTTTTAGATTGAATTTAAAATTTTATAATCAATTACAGTTTTTTTTAATTAATTTTAAATATTTATGTTTTATATTTTAAGGGAATGGACCATAATGACTAACATATACAAACACAAGGATCAAATTGGCCAAATTGATAACACATGGACTAAATTGGCCTATGAGATCAAATACAGGGATTATTTTAACATTTAATCCTTTATATATTACATCTTTAATAAAGATGGAGCCCACCAATACAATGAGGTCACTCTCTAATAAAATATTAAAGTTAATACACAATACGGTATAAAAATATGGTTCGTTAGCATTTTCCTTTCAATATTAGTCTGACAAAGTTCGTCCTTATTTTCTCAGATGGCTAGGGACACTGGTCACCTTGCATGTAATATGCTCAGCCAAATGTACCGAAGTTTTACCAAAAAATTTTGTTTGCAAACTATTTTACAAATTAGTTTGATATCCGTATATATTAATCATATTTAAAAAAAAATGCTTTAAAATACTATGCCTCATTTGGACCTCTTTATAAACAATATATATATATATATATATACCAACTTTGCTTGATTTATAATTTCAATAATTAATAATACAAATAAATCTATATAGTTGAAATATTTAAGAAATTACAAAACAAAAAAAAAGGATGGAGAAACAAAAACCACGGTCCACAGCCCCTATCCCAAGAATTAAAAAACAAATATATTAACAGAAATTATTAAACAAAAAAATTTAAATAGTAGCGAAAAAAAATTAGATTAGACTTATCACATTATATATCACATTTATAATAGAAGTAGAGCCCACCAATACAATGAGGTTACCTCTCTAATAAAAGGTTAGAGTTGGTACACAATACGGTATAAAAATATGGTTGGCTAGCATTTTCCTTTCAATATTAGTCTGACAAAGGTCGTCCTTATTTTCTCAGATGGCTAGGACACTGGTCACCTTGCATGTAACGTGCACAGCCAAATGTCCACACTGCATGCTCAGCCTTGCCTTATTAAAAGCCACTCTCTATAAACAAACACCTGATATAACAAAGTATAGCCCTAAACATGGCGATCAAGATCACCATCAAAGCTAGCTATAAGCTCCCTTTCTTCTTCTTCTTCCTCTCCACTCTCTTCCTAGCCTCCTCCTCTGTAACACCACTGATCAACGCCCTCAGTGATGATCATAATCAGAAATGCCAGCAGTCGATTTGCAGAGGCGTTGGCAGCCGCCATAGCTTGTTAAGATCCAAAGATCATCCTCAAGATGCTCGAGAGGAATACTTTTATTGCTCGCAGAGCTGCGGAACGAGTGAGGACCCCGAACAGTGCGAGACAGAGTGTCGAAAGCGATTTGACGAGCAATTGAAGAAAGAAGCTGAAGAGCAGAAGGCACAAGAGGAGGAGGGGCCGACTTTTAATCCTAACCCTTACTATTTCCCCAAGTTCGAGTTGAGGCCTCGGTTTTTGGCTGAAGAAGGTGCCTATTTTGTCCTTGAGAGCTTTGCCAGGCTCTCGCATTTGCTCCGGGGAAGAATTCAAAACTACCGCACGGCCTTGCTTCAGACTACGCCTGGCACTTTTGTTCTCCCTTACCACCTCGATGCTGAATCCATTTTTGTTGTTTGGAACGGTGAGACGTCTCTCTTTTGTTTTCTGTTGACAATTGAGTCGATTTTGTTTTGCTTAATGAATTGGAATTACAATTTACAGGAAGAGGCACTCTCACTTTTGTGATGAAGGACACGAAAGAGTCCTTCAAGATTGAAAATGGAGATGTAATTAGAGTTCCTGCGGGGGCTACCACCTACTTGATTAACAATCACACCACAGAAAATCTTAGCCTCGTACAGCTCTTTCAGCCAGTCAACACTCCTGACCTATTTGAGGTAATTAAATTTTTGTTTTTGTTTTCTTTTTCGAATTTCTATGCTAGCTATTAGAAAAACCTACTTCAAATTTTCACATAGAAATGTGAGAGAAATGTGAAAATGAATTACTTCTTTTCTTTTAGGAAAAAAACTTGTATAGATTTTTTTTAGGAATTGCTTTGATCATTGGATGCAGGAATTCTTCCCTGCTGGTTATAAAGATCCCGAGCCCGGGTCAGACTATAGCTTTTTGCACGGTACCGAGTCATACTACAGCGTTTTCAGCAATGACCTTCTTGAAGCTGCCTTTGATGTAAGTTTGTTTTTTTATTCCTTAAATATTTCTCTTTTATTTCTTTTAATTTGTTCATTTACACTAATTACTAATTTGATTATCAGGTCCCAAGAGAGCAGCTAGAAAAGGCCTTTGGACAGAAGAAGCGGGAGGGCATGATCATAAGAGCCTCAAAAGAGCAACTCGAGGCATTGAGTAAACAACCTTCTCCATGGTGGCGCAAACTAGTCCCTTGGTCTATGGGTAGTGATTTAAATTTCAATCTGCTAAGCCAAAGACCTCTGCACTCCAACAACTATGGCAAGTTCTATGAGGCTCCCCCTCAGGAGTTCAACCAGCTCCAGGACATGAATGTCTCAGTCGCTATGCTTGACATCAACCCGGTAGGGCAAAACTTAAAACATTAATTCCCAGAAGAAATTTAATTCCATATACAAATGTTTTTAGTAAGGGAAATTTAATATCTGCGAAATTTTTGCAGGAAGCTATGATGGTGCCACACTACAATACTAAAGCAACATATTTGATGATGGTGGTAGATGGAATGGGATACTTTGAAATGGCCTGCCCAAAGTTCACAATACCAGCAAGCGAAGAAGAGATGAAGTATCAAGAAGAGCAAGCAGATCAGCAGAGTGGAGCGTACGTCAAGGTAAGTGGCAAGCTTTCACTTGGTGATGTCTTTGTTATCCCAGCAGGCCATCCTGTGTCTATTGTTGCCCAAAACAACAACCCCAACAACAACGGCAACCAAAACCAGAATTTGAGAATTGTGGGATTCGGAATCAATGCCGGAAACAACATGAGGAACTTCTTAGCAGGTAAATTGTTAATCAAGACAGACTTAATATGCTTAATAATTACATTTTGTTTTAATTAACCGGGTGTGTATATAAATTATATGTTCTCTGCTTTGTTAAATATATGCAGGGCAAGAGGGCAACATAATGAAGCAGATGGAGAGAGAGGCTACGCAGCTGACATTTGGGCAAGAGATGGAACAAATATTGACCAGTCAGAAGCAATCTTATTTTGTGCCTGCCTCGAGAAGAGGGAGCAGCACAGAGAAGGCATAAGCAATCCCAACTGTATGTCGAGCAGAAGTAGTATGCTTTGCTGGAGTTTTGAAGTGGCTAGGCTCATGTAGAGTGAGCTTTTTGATTAGTTGTGTGTAGAGAGCTCTAGCTAGTTTTGTGCTACATAAATAAATGAATAAATGTGACTAGCTCATAATTAGGTACCATAAAAATAAGAATGACTACTAGTGCTAACCAACAATTTGTTAATTATAGAGTAGATTTATGTCAATTTCAGAATTTACCTAATAAAAAAATACAAATTTATAAATAAACCCAATCCTAGACATGTATTTATAAAAAAACCCAAGCACTATTTAAACATAGAAACACACCCAAAATCAACCCCAAAGTCAACTTTTTGGGTGTGTTTATAAATGGGTTTTGAGTGTGTGTAATGATGGGTTTTGGGTGTGTTTATATGTTTAAATAGTGCTTGAGTTTTTTATAATTTCAGACCCCATTTTGGGTGTTTTAGTGAAACTTCAAAAAAAAAAAAAAAAAAAAACCATAGCCCGTAGTGTTGGTTAAATTTGGCCGCTCAAATTACAAAAAAAAAATTTGAAAAATGAAAACTAACGATTGGTTTGCTTTAGTTTATTTAAATAAACTCTCAGGAAAGGTGAAACATAAAAAGAGAATTCAGAGAATCTTTGTGTCTTATTCTAAACATAAAGAAATCGCAAAAAGGATGGTAGTGGAGATCCAACACTGAAACACAGCCACTTGCGATGATTGGAGGAAAATCATAACGAACTGAAGACAAATAGGGGAAATTTTTTGTCTCTGAAAATGAGGGAAGAGAAGAGGAGAGAGGGCAGGAAGAATAATGACTTCCTCCCCCCTAAAAGTGAAAACGTGAAAACAACTGTAGGAGTATTTTTTGAAAGAGAGGGGCTAGGTTTCTCTGGAGTTTGAGTTATTTTAATTTATTTCAAACTTACATCCTTTATGACCTTACGATTGTTTGGACCTCTGGATAATTAATATCACCAAACAAATAAACAAAATCAATTAAATCACAAAATACTCTCTCTTTTTTTTAACATAAGCCAACATTTCACGTTCTTTCTATGTGGCTTCTATGAACATATGCAAGTATTTACTCTTATTATCTAGCTAATAACCATTTAATTCTCCAGGATAATTTAGGTAAAATCTCTCTGATAGATTGTGAAGGATTCTTCTCATTAGATATTTCTTAATTTGCTTAATTTGCATTAATACGGGGAACATCTTCTCACTTGTGGTTTACTTATAAAAACCTACCAAAGTAACACCAATTGACAAGCATTGCCTTCATTCTTCTTATTCTTTCAATCCACAGTCTCATTGCTGTCTTGAAACAGGCATTCAAAATGGCCAAGCTCTTTGCTCCCTTGTACTTGCTTCTCGCCCTCTTTGTATTCACCTCAGGTTTGTGTTCTGCTTTTTTGTATATTTGCACCCATATTTGATGTTAATAAACATGATTATGGATGAATGTGATGACCCGGTCCTAAATAAATAATGAATGGAAGTTTGTCACAATGTTTCCATGTCACAGCGTCAATCTGAACTATATATGTGTGGTCTTTATTCATAATTTTACAACATAACACGTCACATATTAATTTATTATTTAACTTAAGTAAGTTGTTTTATTTTTATGGACAGTAAGAAGAATGGTGCCAACGGTGAATGCCGATGAATGTTCACTAGCATCTATTGGCGGCGGTTGTCCCGACGAGGACGAGTGCACCATGACATGCATTACTTGTTATCGGAATGTTGGGCATGTCAGATCCTACTGTCGTTCTGGTGGCGGAGGGATTCCATTTGATTCATGTATTTGTGTCATGTCCGATGGTGCTCCTTGCAACCCTATTGGTCCACCAAAGTGCCCGAACTGGCCTCGATCTACTTCTATTGCTGCCAATTTCACTGCAAATTAATTTACATTAAAACCATTTACATTATGGTATACTGCCAATATTGAGAACAAGATATCAGTCTGATGTAATAATGAATAATGGCAAAGGTCAAAGTCCTTTGTTTCCAGCAACAACAAGCTGCCAGGGCAAACAGTGGGGCCCACAAACCTGGGCAAGCCCGAGGGCGAGGCTGGCTCGAGCTCCAGCCCGCAGGCTGAGATGACGTCAGCGCTGCTGTTTAAAATTTTTTAAAGCTGGCGCGTGTAATACACGCGCTCGGTATAAAAAAAATTTGACGCGCGCTACAGTAGCCGCCCAACGGCATGATTCCACGTGTCGCATGCTGGGCCATCCAATCTGCTTTTTAAACTTATCCAACGGCAGCCATTTTTTCGCGAATAAAAAAATCGGAAAAAGCAAGCCCCAACGGCTCTGTGACACGTGGAAGCTTCTGGGCTTTTCGATATTTTTTTTTCCAGCCATCCAACGGCAGAGAATTTTTTGCCCAATAAAAAAATGAAAAAAAATACCAAAAAAATACTGAAATTGTTTTCTATAAATACCAACCAATACTCTTCACTTTTAACATCAACAACCAATATTTTTGTAATAAAAAATTGAAAAAAACCCAAAAATTACTTTTTTTTTTCTTCTCTCTATACCTTATTTCCATTTTCAACATTTAAGTAAATGTCTTTGTCCTTTTACTTTTATTTATTTTTATATTACTCCATTTACTTAAGTTTACAATGTAAATAAGGAAGTACCCCCCATTTGGATTCAAATAAAAATACTAGAAAATCAAATTCCCACCAAATCAAAATATGAAAAATCGGTTTTAGTGCAAATACGATTTTGGCTAAAAATGATGGCTCATTAAGTCAATATATACTTCATATTAAAATCCCATAAAATCAAGTTTTCTTATTTGATGTGTAAGGAATAAAAGCCGCCAAAAATTTTCTTGAGAAAATGATTATTTCGAAAAACCATTTTTCATACTTAGTCAATATTGCACCTCCGCTAAAAATCTTGAGAAAATGATTTTTCATATGTAGGAACCCAAAAATCTTATCCGAAAATATTATCCAAATTAATTGTTTAAGTAAACAAAGCTGTGAGGTAAATTATTTGTAATTTTCGTTTTATTAATTTCAATGTCATATTAATTTTTATTTAAAAGTTTCTTGCAATTTATATATTTTGTTAATATTTCTTGTATTTCCAATATTAATATGAATGTTTCTTGCAATGTTTAAATTTTGTTTTGCATTTCTAATAATTGTTAATGAATAGTATTGACACGTAGGAACCCAAAAATCTTATCCGAAAATATTATCCAAATTAATTTTTTAAATAAACAAAGTTGTGAAAAAAAAAAAAATGAATAGTATTTGCCATGGCAAGGGGCTAACTGCTGGAAACACACTTTGCTGGGGGGAGCTAGGGCAACCACTATTCACATGAATAGTAGCTGCCCTAGGGCTCCCCTTGCCATGGCAAGGGGCTAACTGGTGGAAGTGCTCTTAAGGTTAGTATGTCCAATCACAAATGGTCAATGTTGTTAGGTTCTATAAAAAACTATGTTAGTTTTGCTGACGTGGCATACATATATATCACAAAACATCCCTGAGGTTTACACACTTATCACAAATGATCCCTATGATTTTTTTTAAAAAAATTTTTTAATTTAAAATTCATAAAATTTTGGTTTTCTTTTTAAAATTATTTATAAATGAAAAAACCATTTATAGAAGGATTTTAATCTTGAGGACCATTTATGAACCCTAAGGGGGGTGTATTCAATTGAGATTTTAAAAGTTTATTTATGGATAAATAAGTCCAGTTGATTTTAAAAGACTATTTAAGAATATAATGACTTATAAGATTTTTTTGAAAGATTTTTTATATTCATGATTTTTTATGTTTGGATTTTAAAGATTTATATCATAATAATTTATAAGATTTGAAAGGACCACATGGATTTTTTATTTGTACGATAACCAACCAACTTAGTTGTGGGCACTTGCATCAGCAATAACATAAACGAGATCAAATGGAATGGAACAATAAATAAAAGCAAACATTCAAAGTTACAAGAGTCAATGAAAACAGGAAGGCTTATAAAATGGGTTATAAAATTGACACCAATCTCTGCCAACATTGGAAGGCTTGACTAAAATGGTTCTGCATCCAAATTGGATTTAAGTTGAAAATTCAGCTTTCTTATTAATTTAATATGTAACTATACAAGGGTTACATACATGTGAGTAATGTTCCTCTTGCAAAATAGAAAGGTCACGTGCCATTCGACATGCAGAGGTTGCAGAGGTTTTGAGGAAAATGTTGGAGAGTGTTACGAGGAAAGAGATGGTTGATGTGGGTGCTGAGCTGATGAGTCTTACAAACAACAGTATATGCAGGCATGCTCTACAATTAATTTGATATGATCCTTGAAATTTTCTCCCATATTTCTATTTTTAACAAGTGCCTGTTTAATAGCAGGATGGCTATGAGCACTAGTTGTTCAGAGAATGGTGAGGAAGCTGAAAAAATCAAGGAGTTGGTAAAAGAATCATTTGAGTTGGCTGCAAAGGTTTGTTTTGGGGATGTGTTGGGCCCACTGAAGAGGTTGGGTTTCTGGGTTGATGGGAAGCAGCTCATGGATGTGACCATGGGTATGATAAACTTCTGGAGGGTGAAGCAGCATGAAGAGAGAGCAGAGAGAGAGGGTTGGGATAGAGAAGATAAAGATTTGATGGATATACTATTGAAGGCCTATGTTTGGATATACAACGTTCATGGATACATCTACCTCGAGCCGGTATGAGAATCGATTTCACCGTTTAACTTCTCTTGCGATTTCACGAAGAACTGTTCATCTTCTCTTGCAGAGAGAAAAAAATCTCACGTGAAAAGTCTAACGGGTTATGGTGAGATTTTTTTTAGGGTTTGGTATTTATACCTCCCACTAAAAAGTCACACAAATTCCTTCTTTAAAAAAAATCCTTCGAAATTAGCAAGTTTTTGAATACCAAAAGACTTTTTGTTACTTGTTTAAAGTCTTGATTGAATACCACTAGATTTTGACACCCTCTTTAAAAAATCCTAAAAGTCCTTATTGAATACCACAAGACTTGTTTAGATTATTTAAAAGTCTTAATTGAATACCACAAGACTTATTTATCCCAAAATAGTCTTTTAAAATCCTAATTGAATTTAGTTTGTTTTCATTTTTAAATGTTATGAATTTTAAATTATTTTTAAAAAACTTCATTAGTTTGTTGATGTGGCATATATATGGAGCCCACAACTACAATAATATAGTGTCACATGTATTTAAAATTTAATATATATTTTAAAATAATTATAATTCATAACATTTTAAAAAGAAAACAAAAATGTTATGAATTTTAAATTTAAAAAACTAAAAAAATTTGTAAGGACCATTTGTGATAGGTGTGTGAACCTCAAGGATGTTTTGTGATATACATATATGCCACGTCAGCAAACTAATGGAGTTTTTTTACTGAACCTAACGGTATGGACCATTTGTGATTATGCATACTAACCTTGAGGACCACGAATGACAAAAAAAAACATTAAGGATGCAATCTGATAGTTTCGTAAACCTTAGAGACGTTTTGTGATAATAAGCCTTTAATCAAACATGGTTTATCAACAATTTAGACTTGCCCTTCACTTAAACAAATAGAATGTGACAAGCAATCTCCTTATATATTTGCCTTAATGGTGTTTTAATTTTGTGCAACAATTTCCAAGAGACTTGTGGTTACTCACCATTTGATTTAATCCAAGAGTTGAGAAAAATTTACTTTAAAATATTTTTTTTCTTCTACTTTTTAAATTTAACTTAACAAAAAAATAAAAAGAGGGTAAAAACTAAAAACTAAAAACCCAAAATCTTTGAACATCTTCTTCTTCCTCCCATCACTACCTCCATATTTTGCTTCCTCCCATCCCTGCCGCCACAACACCTACGACTCCGGCTTTGCAAGCAAAAATCCAGAGCCATCCATTCTTTCGCATTTAAACAAGGCCAGTTTCTCGCTCTTCTTCACTTTTTCTTTGAAGGGTAAATATTCAAATACTTACCCTTATTATCTGGCTAATAACCATTTATATCCTCAATAGGAAACTTATATAGCCAAAATATCTCTGATAGATTTTGAAGGATTCGTCTCATCAGATATTGCTTAATTTGCCTAATTTGCTTAATTTTGCATTAATAAGGGGAACATCTTCTCACTTGTGCTTTACTTATAATAAACCTACCATAGTAACACCATTTGACAAGCATTGCTTTCATTCTTCTTATTCTTCCAATACACGGTCTTAAAACAAGCATTCAAAATGGCCAAGCTCTTTGCTCCCGTTTACTTGCTTCTTGCCCTCTTTGTATTCACCTCAGGTTTGTGTTCTTCTTTTTCGTATATTTTACACCCACATTTGATACATGATTATGGATGAATGAATGGAATAATTCTTTTCACAGTTGTCACAATGTTGCCATATCGGTGCATCAATCTGAACTATTATCCAATAAAATTATATATGAACTATATATATGTGTGGTCTTTATTCATAATTTTACAACGTGGCACGTCGCATACTAATTTATTATTTAGCTTAAGTAAGTTGTTTTATTTTTCTGGACAGTAAGAAGAATGATGCCAATGGTGAAAGCCGATGAATGTACACTAGCAACTATTGGCGGCGGTTGTCCCGACATTGACGAGTGCGCCTTGACATGTAGTACTTGTTATCGGAATGTTGGGCGTACCAGATTTTACTGTGAATCTGCTGGCGGTATTGATTCATGTATTTGTGCCATGGCCAATGGTGCCCCTTGCAACCTTCCTGGCTCACCAAAGTGCCCGAACTGGCCACGATCTATTCCTGCTGCGGCCAATTTCACCGCAAATTAATTTATAATTTTAATGTAGAAAACCATTTACATTATGGTAAGCATAAACTGAAACATTCTACAAAGATAGTTATTAAATCGTTATCACCAACACTGCCAATATTGAGAACAAGACATATCAGATTGATGTAATAATGAATCGCAAAGGTTTATGTATGTTGTCCTGTCATATTTTTGCGAATCATATCAAATGAGAAAAATGGTTCTAGCTGCACCTCCCCCGCTCTCACTCTCCATTTTGTCTTTGGGGTTTGGTAAATAACATGTCTTGTGGTGTGACTTGGTCTCAGAATTGAATTTCTCATCACCTCTTTTTTTGCTAATTCCTTGTTGGAGATTTGTTCAATCTTTTAGCAATCAAATCAAGCATGTTGCCCAGGGAATCAACTTTAGAGGAAGGGTGAATAAGGTTAATTGCAAATTTAAATTTAAATGCGGATAACTAAATTAACAAGCACAATAATAAAGAGATAGGGAAGGAGAGATTCAAACTTAGAGATTTATATTGGTTCAGTCCACCTGACCTACATCCAATCCTCAAGCACACCACTTGAGAGTTTGAATTTGATCCACTATGTTGGAAAACTCCTTGCAGGTGGAGTTGAAACCTTTACGCTACTAGAGCACACCACTCCTTCACAGCTAGAGCACACCACTCTAACACACAAGGTGGAAGACACCCTTCTCACCTCATAGGGTCAAACCAACCCCTTTTACAAGTTTGAATGAAATAACTATCGAAACAAAAATCTCTCCTACTTGATAGGGATATACAATTGAAGCTCACTCAATGGTAACTCTCCTTTCTAAGTAGATGATAAGTAGATGATACAGAAGTAATTCGAACACTAGAACTCTTGTATGAATTTGAACAAGATTGGCTCAAGAGAAAATAATATTCAGAGTATGATGAATGCTTTCAAGCTTGGATGAATATATTGAGTTCTTATTTGAACCAAAAATCTAAATACATATTTTTAAGTACAAAAATATAGTTGTTGGAAATCATTGTGCCGTTCGGAATATAGCCATTTGGAAATAATTGAGCTGTTAGGAAAATAGCTATTGAAATATTTGTTTTTATAGTTTTACTTTCATTTATTTTTATATTACTCCATTTACTTACGTTTGCAATGTAAATAAGGAAGTACCCTATATTTGGATTCAAATAAAAATATTAGAAAATCAAATTCCCACCAAATAAAAATATGAAAAATCGGTTTTAGTTGAAAATACGATTTAGGCTAAAAATAATGGCTCATTAAGTCAATATATACTTTATATAAAAATCCCATAAAATCATGTTTTCTTATTTGATGTGTAGGAAATAAAAGCCGCCAAAAATTATCTTGAGAAAATGATTATTCTGAAAAAACCATTTTTCATACTTAGCCAATATTTTATAAAACAATTTTTCATGTATGAAATGAATGCATGAAGGGACCTAAAGTCAATTTAGATAAAGAGCCTTAAATGTTCAAGACACAAAGAGTTTTACAACAATAACCTAACTCTTATGTATTTAAGAAATATTTGCTGAGTGTCGGCTTCTTGCTCAGTGTTCTAAACGTCTTCCAGTGTGTACAATATTTTTGATCCATTTGGAAATACCTACTCCTTACAACTAGGGGTGGGTACGGTCCAGTTTTCACATCAAACTAGAATTGGAATGAGTACTATTTAATTTATATGGTTCGGTCCAGTTTAAGTGACTTAAAAAAAAAAACCAGCCGGTTCTATTATGACCAATTCCAGTTTTGAACCGAATTATTATTTTATTAATTTTTTTAAAAATAATAAATAATAAATAATAATAAAGTTATTTTTTGGGCTTGAAAATTAACAAATGATCCAATTCATACAATGAGAAATGTTTTGAAGTTGAACTTGGAAAAATATTAATTATAAAATTAAAAATATAGCAATGGATTTAAAAATTTGTAAATAAAAAAAAACACAACTAGTCCGGTCCAGTTTGATGTGATGTGAAACTGAAATCAAAACCGGTTGGAATTGGTTCAGCCCAGTTCCAGTCCGATTTGTTGACTTTTTTAGTCAACCAGTTTTTTTTCATCCACTCCGATTTGGTATTCCGATTTTCTAATCCCGATGCCCACCTCTACTTACAACTTATCACACTTAAAATACATTAGATAAATAAAAAACAATTTATTGTCATCGAAATATGCACAACATGCTTCTATTAAAAATCGTAAGGCTAACAAACAAAGCATTTGCAACACTCAAGCGATGTCGCTTGATGTTTGTCAGTCACAATCATCTATATTTGTATGTGTGACTTTGAATCGTTGACTTGGAAATTCTAAATAATTAATCAAACATGATCTATCAACAATTTAGACTTGTCCTGCTGCACCTAAACAAATAAATATGATTAGCAATTTCCTTATATATTTGCCTTAATGTTGTTTTATTTTTGTGCAGTCAAAATAATGATAACAGTCTCAAATGCCCACAATATTAACGGACTTTGACGGCATGATCAATTTGACACTGAATAGAGAGTTGGAGCACCACCACTAGAGTGAAAAAAATAAAAATAAATAAAGGACCAAAAATGTTACTCGGACATAAGTTCAGGCACCATTTTGTTAAACCCAACAAAAAATATTGATGTATTGCATTCAAGCATAGACGGAGCCTCTACTTCTCTATATAATCACTTTAAGTGATTTGAATTTTAATCACTTAAATCGAGTGTAAGCTGGAAAGACTAACTTTGGCTTACCAATTTTTAACAATCTTTTAAGCCAACACCATATTTTATCTTTCTTATTAGAAATATTAAATATAATTTTCATAAAATAAAAATATATATTTTTTGTATTATAAAAGGATTTTGTTTGTCTTCTTTCTAGTAATGAGATATTCTTCTTTCTTGCGAATCATAATTTAACACATATGCAAAAGTGATTCATCCAAAAAACAAAAACGTATGCACACATATCACGCTGAGGAATATAAGAGCTTATACTTACATAATAACGAGGGAAGTATTTTTCATTATAAAATAAGAAATATCTTTTCTTTTGTTTAAAAAAAAATTATTTTATAGAAGTTTATCTTTCTATTGGGATAGCAGAACCGGTTGTAGAGATATGTTATTCTGTATGTGGACCAACAAATTGCATACAACCAAACAGACCCTCTGAGTGAACTTGTTCCTCAAGTCCCCTGCTATTACCTCCAATTTCCTAACCCAAAAGCACAAACAGTGTGACCCAGCTCCAAAGCAATCAAAAACGCAGAGAGAGAGAGAGATCGAAACTCGAAAACCTAGCAGATCAAGAACAAGGCAATGGAGTCCATCTTCGGCTTGGTAGGGGACGGCTTCGCGGTGGTGGCGGCGGACACGTCAGCCGTGCACAGCATACTGGTGCACAAGTCTAACGAAGACAAAATCATGGTGCTCGATTCACACAAACTAGTCGCCGCCAGCGGTGAGCCCGGCGACAGGTGCAAAATCTTTTCTCTTTGTTTTTTGTTTTGGGGTTTTATTTTGATTATCGATCATTGTGGTTTGGAATCTAATTTTAATTTTTTTTTAAATAATTGGGGGAAACAGAGTTCAGTTCACAGAGTACATACAGAAAAATGTGGCCTTGTATCAGTTCCGTAATGGGATCCCATTGACCACTGCTGCTGCGGCCAATTTCACCCGTGGCGAGCTCGCCACCGCCTTGCGAAAGGTATTGGCTTTTATTTTTTATTTTTTGGTTGATTAAATTTAACTTCTTTGTTCACTACTTGGTTAATTAGAATTTTGCCCAATATTAGGGATCTAGGGTAAAGGTTAATAGTCTCATTTTGTATGTGTTTTTCCGCTTGTGCAAATCTAGGGTTTTTCTTGATTCATTGTGACGTGATCGGGTTTAAGTTAAGATGCAACAGCGTGGGAATTAATTATATGAAGTGGGTTTCAAGCCCAAAAAAAGAAATAATGATGTGAAGTGGGGAAATTCTTTACTGTGTGGACATTGTTTTTGAGTTTGAGCATGCTGTTGTAATGTCCTCTTGAGTGAGCCAGTTTTGGTGTTTGACTTTATAACCTGAGTAAAATTCTCAATGGGTTACAGATTACAGCATTATTAGGGGTGAGGATCAAAACACCTTTCTTATTGTATGCATTAATTACCAGTAACATAGGAGGTGATTGAGCGGGCTAAGTTATATTGCGAAGTTAAGTGATCAGAGACTACCAGTTTGAATTCATGTATAAAATAATCTTAAAGGGAAGGCTGTGGGTTCTGTACATGCTACGTATATGTTGCTTAGTATGTGGTTTGAGAAGAGTTGTAACCCTAGTTAGTCATACTAATGCAATCTAATTTTTATCTTAAATTTGCTCCACCTGTGCATAACTTACGTAAAATGTTTCTATAAACATCCACAGTTAAAAATTTAGAAATGAGGTATCTTGGGAAGTTTTCTAACAAACCGAATTAAGCTTCACAGTGCTTCTTCTCCAAACTTTAAAAACATTACACCAAATGCTTTTTTCATCTGTTTGACATCAACTACCAAACGCCCCCTGAAGTTCACTTACCTGATTTTATTGATAACAGCCCTAGCTTTAATCACCATGAAACCCAAAGTGATGTAGTAGTTGCTGCCTCAACTTCCAGAATCAATTCTAAAATTCTAGTGACTTCTTGCCTTCAAGTCCAACCCTAGTAGTCCTCAAAGTATCCTACCATTCCTCGCCCCCTTTGTTTCTATACATTAAACCTCTATTTGAATTACCATTTGCTTATGGTTTCAAACGAGATTGCATCTGTATTCTAGAACATTATCTCAGGAATGTTCTTACCATTTCATCAAAGGTCTAGGATATTGAGGGTAAATCACCGGGGTAGTCTGCAGTATTTTATAAGCTTCTCAGTTTGAGGCTGTTCCTAAGCGCAAGGAGCATCAATGAAATAGTGAATATTTGAAGATGGTATTCCTAGAAATTTGCATAGTCAACTTGGGTTCCCCAAATTGGCTTTACCAGGGGTTTTAGACACTAGCAGTTCACTTTTGTGGGTATTGTCAAAGGAAGGATAAAATTCTTGGGGTGGGGGTTCAAACACTCAAGAAGGGTTGTATGTACTATGATTTTTCCTTTTGAAGTCACAAATTTTTTCTTTATTGTTTTTGCGACTTCAAACACTTAGTTTTGAATTTTCTGTATCTAGTGCAAACTCCACTTCGAATTTTCATTTGCTAAGAACAAATAACCATATGGTTAATTTATTGTGTTGTTTACCAAGAAGTCCATTGCTTAGTTTATCCCTGGAAGGCTTTTTTAACTTGACCTTTATTCTTTAAGCCAATAGAATTTTTAAATAGTTGTTAGTTGATGTATAACTTCTCTTTCTTCTTTCTTTTCAGAACCCATACATGGTGAACATCCTTATGGCTGGTTTTGACAAAGAGGCCGGGGCATCCCTATACTACATTGACTACATTGCCTCGCTTCACAAGGTTGAAAAGGGAGCCTTTGGATATGGGTCATATTTTGCACTCTCACTGATGGACAGGCACTACCACAGTGGCATGTCTGTGGAGGAAGCAATTGATCTGGTTGATAAGTGCATTATTGAGATCCGGTCGAGGCTGGTGGTGGCTCCCCCCAATTTTGTCATCAAGATAGTTGACAAGGATGGTGCGAGGGAGTATGCGTGGCGGGAATCCATCAGGGATGCTAGTGTTGCTGCCGCATGATCTTTTAATATCTATCATCAGACTTCTGTTTAGTTTACTTTTAAACTTGTGCTGGGTGAATTTGACAATGCTAGGAGGGGAATTTGATGTCCTGCCAGAACCTATTTAAAATGCTAAAAAGTAGCTCTGTTATTGTTTGAAGTTCTGATATGCCGGAATAGTTGTATTTTGAAAACAAAAAAATGGTCCTTAAAAGTGTGAGTTTCATTTGTAATGACTGGAGTACTCTCTTTAGGGGACAGGGTATGTTGAAGAACATGTGGGAGGCTTCATTGTCTCCTCATTCCTTATCTTTCATTTCCTTTTCTTTTTTCCTTGTTGAAAATATCTTTGATTTCTTATTTTCCCTGCGGTTTTTTATTTGTGTTAATGCAAACACAAATATTCATTCGGTGACTTCAGGATTTCGAACCTCTCCTACATGGGTGGTTGTTGTGTTTGGTGTTCATACACAAATAAATCTCTAAAATTGTTGTTTTATATTGCAATTGCCCATCTATCAAAGGAACTCAACTTTTGTAAAGAAAAAGTAACTCAACTCTTCTATCATTTGAAGAGTCTCACAAATCAACCACAAGGTGTAGTGCGGTTGGTAAATTGTCACCTTTAGCTGGCGAGCTACCTAGTGCTTCAATAATGGGGGTTTGAAACCCGTTGGAAGCACTTTGGAGCTAGAGGCAAGCCGAATCCCGAGCGGGGATTAATCCCACATTTCAAGTGTAGGGACACCTCGTGGTATTTACACACAAAAAAAAGTCTCACAAATCTTTCATGAACAAAAACCTAAACCTTGGAACATGGGCAGTGTATTTTAGACCAGATGAGTATTTTTATACGATCATATTATTTGAATGCAATGGGCCCATACTCACAGTTCACTCTCATAAAACTTGCATGAAACTGGAAACACAAATTCAATTACTTTGGGCTATTCTATCCGACCTTGACAGAAATGAGTTTTGGGCAGGGACGAGGCAGTACAGGATACTCCTTTATCCCATGTTGAGCACTGTATAGAGCAGCAGAAAATTGAACTGCTGCACCACGTTTTGGCCATCCATCACTAATTCACTAGTGATAATACTTAAGGGGGAAGTTAGAGCGAAGAATTTTGACAAGATGAATCTAAAACTGGAAAATGCCTCTTCACAAATCAAATCATGGGTCCAGGTTATTTGTTTGTTTGCAACTTTTACAAAATAGTATTTTGGTTTGTCCGGGGCTTTTCCTTTTCATTCTCTCTCTCACTCTCCAGTCTTCCTTGTACACTAAGTTGAACTTTATTTGCCTTTTTCTTTCTATTGGATGAAATGCAGTGAACCCTTTTTCGGATTATCTGGTTCTCTCTCAAAGATCTAATCTTTGAGGTTTGATCAGCGGTGAGTTTCTGGGTCATCTCTGTCGTTCAAGGCCTCCGCATTTCTTTTCTCAGGTCTGTCTCTCAACCGATTCTTAGCTTTCTTTCATAGCGATTTCTTATTGTTTGTGTATTTGTTTGTATTTGTCAATGTGTTTGTTGCGTGCGTTCGGGTATTAATGTAGAGTTTGGTTCTCATATGGGTTTCTGGAATTGATGTAAGATTATATAAATTTTGTTAAATGCTTCACGGTAGCCGCGTTTTCACTTTGCTCTCCCTGTTCTGCGGTTTTTCTGATTGTGGGTCTACTAACTTTGTTGGAGCCTTCATGTAATTGTTTTTCTGATTTTGAATCTACTGCTTCCAATGTACCTTTACCAAGCCTTGGTAGCGAAATTGGTCTGTGGTAGACTGGTAGTTTTCTATCTGGATCAACGGGGGAGGGGGGATTTGGTCTTTGGTACTTATCATTGGGTACCTTAATCTTCTAGTCAGAAACCACTTTCTTCTTCTTCTACTCCTCTCTCTTTGTTTTTTTTATTCATTTTTTCCCTAGTTTGTAACTCACAGTTTGTTCTTCATGTCAGTCTCCGTTTGGTGATGGGTATAAATGGTTATAAGTCGGATGAGGAATGCTCTGTCATTGGAGACAAAGGAGAAATCGGCTTCATAGATTTCGAGGATGATAAATCGGTGCGTAGTTACAACCCAAATGAAGAAGGTCCAATTGTTATTTCAGTCCCATTCCCTTATGTGGGTGGAAAGCAAGGTGAAAAGCCTCAATCAGTATGCGTAGGAGAAACAACTGTGGATAAGATAACTATTAAGAACACCACCCATGACCCGGTGGAGCTATGCGGTGTTAAAATTTACGCCTCAAGTCCAGAGGACTCTTTCAAGCTTTCTCTGATGAAACCCCCAACTGCAGACTCTGATGTCGAAACCATCCAAGCCTTCCTTGAGTCTACTTCTCTGGAGGACAGAATGCTTCAGCCAGGAGATACTTTGACTATATGGCTATCTTGCAAACCCAAGGAAATTGGTCAGCACAAGGCCTTTGTGCATTTTGATTTGGAGACTGAACAGATTGAACGAGTTGTTATTCTCTTAGCAGAAGATAAAATATCCCAATCTATGGCCTCAACAAAACCATACACAAGAGCCACTAGAAAGAAACCACTTCTTGTGGATGGTTTTCATGTGGGTGTACGCCCTAGTGGAGTAACAGAGCGACGACCGTACAAGAATAGGCTTCCTCGATACGACATTCCAAAAGACATCAGAGAATTACTTGAGAGCAAGCAGATTCCTTATGTTGTCACCGAAGGTCTTACGAGAGAGAACTATGCACATTACTTCAAAACTTTACTCATCATGGAGGAAATACAGATAGAGGTAAGTTCATTTTGTAACAACACTGTATGAAGTTGTTCTTGATTTGTGATAAATTTGGTGATTGCTTCAGGAAAGTATGAGAAGCCATGATATGGTAGGTGTTACTTTGAGGAAGAGAGGACATCAATTTTTGTCCCTTGAAGTCCCAGGGCTTGCTGAGAGAAGGCCTTCACTTGTCCAAGGGGATTATGTTTTGGCCAAGCTTTCTGAGTATGCAGATGATACAGTTCCTCCGTATCAGGTTGTCCTTCTGAAACAAAATCTTATCATTAAGACCAAACATCTAATGCATTTACTGAATGCTATGATTGTTAGCTGTTGGTATTATATACTTATTCATCTATCTATTTGTAAATGCTTAGCTCTACTGATATAGATTTGGACTTCTAGAGTATTATCATCCCACACTATTTATATTTTAAAACAACTTATTGCCACTCTTACATTTTATAATTTGTCATGTACTTGAAATCATTCTCCAAAGTAATTTTTGGCCAAAGAAAATAGTTGAAAGGTTCCTTCCTTTAATGTTGGCAGAAGTTGGCCATTCATGATCCATGGGCAGTTCATTCATGAAGAAAGAGAATTTAATCCATGCATATGCATTGTGTTTCACAAGCTGTTGGCTAATGCGTGTATTTGGCCTTTTTCATCAATACTCAAATGTTTTCATGTTATTTAAATATCCAGAATTCTATAGCTTATCTTTCCAAAAAATTTTAATGTGTTCTGCTCAGGGTTATATCTACCGTGTTGAGGCTGATGATGTTTACTTGAAGTTTCCTCCAGAATTTCACGCATGCCACAGAGATGGTAACCTTTATAGTGTACAATTTACATTTAATCGAATCACCATGAGAAGGTTATATCAAGCGGTTGATGCAGCAGAAAAATTAGAGATAATGTTCCTTTTTCCATCTGAGTCCTATCAGAGAAGGATGATTAGAGGCACTCGACTGGTGCCTATATCTTGTACACCTAATAAGGAGCAGATGTGCTCAGTTGAGATGATTCTTGGCTGCAAAGGAGGGCCACCTTATGTGATTTATGGTCCTCCTGGAACAGGCAAGACTATGACATTAGTGGAAGCAATCCTCCAACTCTACGCAACTCGGAAGAATACTAGAATCCTTGTGTGTGCACCTTCAAATAGTGCAGCAGACCACATTCTGGAAAAACTCCTCAATGCAAAGGCTGGTACAGCAGTTCGAGAGAACGAAATATTCAGGCTCAACGCATCTTCCCGTCCTTATGAAGATGTCAATCCTAACCATATTGACTTCTGCTTCTTTGATGACGATACCTTCAAGTGTCCTGAACTCCGTGTCTTCGTGCGTTATAGGATCATCATATCAACCTATATGAGTGCCTCTCTGCTCCATGCAGAAGGTGTCCCACGAGGCCACTTCTCTCATATTATCTTGGATGAGGCAGGCCAAGCTTCAGAACCAGAAACCATGATCCCGATATCGAATCTCTACCATCGGAATACAGTAGTTGTTCTTGCTGGAGACCCTAAGCAATTAGGTCCAATCATAAACTCCAGCCAAGCAGAATCCTTTGGTTTGGGGAGATCATACTTGGAGAGAATGTTCGAATGTGAGTTTTATAGTAATGGGGATAAAAACTATGTAACAAAATTGGTTAGAAATTATCGATGCCACCCAGAAATTTTGTATCTCCCTAATCTGTTGTTCTATGGACAAGAGTTGATTGCTTGTAAAGATGACTCAGTTCCCTTCATGGCAAGGGTGGACCTTCTTCCTAACAAGGATTTCCCTGTTCTTTTCTTTGGCATCGAAGGCTGCGATGAGAGGGAAGGAAGTAATCCATCGTGGTTTAATCGGACTGAGGCAAGTAAGGTAGTAGAGGTCACTAAGCGATTGACTGCAAAAAGGAATTTGAGTGAGGAAGATATTGGGATCATAGCACCTTATCGGCAGCAAGTACTAAAACTGAAGAAAGCTTTCGAAAATTTGGAGATGCCTAACATCAAGGTTGGAAGTGTTGAGCAATTTCAGGGACAAGAGAGACAAGTTATAATAATATCAACTGTCCGATCAACAATCAAACACGATGAATTTGACAGAAGATACTGTTTGGGATTTTTGAGCAATCCAAAAAGGTTTAATGTGGCTATTACTCGTGCTAAAGCTTTGCTAATTGTAATTGGGAATCCGCACATCATCAGCAAGGTATTGTCCCATTGTCTTACAGGTTGCAGGATATTCTCTCAAATCAACTGAGGTCTATATAAATAAATATGTGCAATTCAAGGATTTATTTTCTTATAATATCAGTTGTTTGGTTTTGGCAGGACCCAAACTGGAACAGGCTTCTATGGCGTTGTGCAGACAACTCATCCTATCTGGGCTGTAACCCCCCTGAGAGGCAGGAGCTTGTTTATGAGGACCCACAGGAAGATCTCTTAAACAATGAAGGAAACACTTGGTGCTCTGGAGATGATAGATGGGCTCGAGACTCCTGGCAAACAGAAGTTCCCCAACCTGTCATGGAAAAGTCCTGGCAAACAGAAGCTCCCCAACCTGTCGTGGATGATGAAGCTGAATGGTCTGATGGCTGGAAGTAAATACTGAGTTTCTGAATATATAATGCGACAATAAAGCATTTGTCTTTCTTCATATACTATGAATCCCAGGATTTACAATGATTGTTGGCTGGAAATATATTTTCCTTTTTCGCTTTTGGTGTGCCATGAGTCTGTGGCTGTAGGTGGAGCTGGATTTTGAAGCAGGATTCGTGAAGCTAGTGCCAAGTAGTACTGCAGTTAATGCATTGTGTATGCTGTGAAAGTGGGTTTTATAGTTGATGCAGATGAAGTTACTTATAATAGCGTTCAAGTAATTGGCATATTATCATACAATTATAAAGAATAGATGAGAGTGGTGAATTTCATTTGCCTACTGCCATATTGAATTGATTTTGCTAATACCTTTTCTAAAGAAATTTAGACTTCATTGCTCAATTATCACAGGTCATCATCACACAATTAAGCAGAACTCTGTATCAAAATATACAAATTCATGAATATCAATGTAACAGAGTAACACAAGTATGCTTGATTAGGTGTATGATCAGATGAGCTTAGTACTACAGGTGAGTGGAGATGGGAACAAGAAAAATCAGTACGGCAGGTAGAAACCATGTATTGCTTCTGCAAATTTGCTTCATTGCTGTTGACACCCCAGCTGGTTCTACTGCTGAGCTTGGTGGAGTTGTCGGCGATCTCTTTCCCGGCAGCAAGCTTGAACTGTTTGTTGATTCTGATGGTAGGCTCATCAAAGGAGATGAAGCATTGTCAGCTCCTGAAAAATAATGAATAAAACCTAAGTCAAAGGTAGCTAGTCAACCCAATATGCTCCCATTTATTCACTCGCATATTTCTCAAATCTCAATGTACTTGAAAAACGAACAATAATCCAAATGAAGGTAAATAAATAATCCAAGAAAATCATGGAAGGAGTGAGAGACTAATCCAAATGTACCAGAAGGAGAAGGAGAAGGAGAAGGACTTGAAATCCCTGAAATTGTTGAGCTGCGGAGAGGAGGGAGTTCAGGCGACCCTGTTGCAGTTACCCAATGGATTAGAATTTTGAACCCAGATTTCATCGTATTTACATTCATAGCTTTAAGAAATAAAGATTGGTAATTTTTCAATCGATAAGTAACTAAATTGGGCAAAGGAAAATGTTGAAGAAAGTCAAGAACCTGAGCAGAGCGACTCCAAAGAATTATCAGTGCTCTTTGTGCTTGTGCCGTTGTTGCTGAGAGGGCAAGTGGAAGACAGAGACAGAACGCGAGTCTCGTTCACCGGAAACCCAAGCATCGGAGGGTCCTGGATCAAGTAGCAGAGGCACAAGGCCCCGCCGGACTCAAACGACGACGACAATGCGTCGCAGCACTTGGGTGGGGCCGAGTCGGAGCGGTTGTTGGGCGGAGACGACACGTACGGCAGGCACGGCGAGAACCTCACGAGCTCGTCGGCGCAACCTGGCTGCGGCGGTGGTTCTGCTGCTGCTGCGGAGAGAACGACGAGTGTCCAGGCTAGGACGAAGGCCATGAGCCACCGGTGCAGGGCGGTGGTGGTGGTGATCATGCTTTGAGTGTTGAGAGAGAAATGGCGGGAAACAGAGGAATTTTGATTTTCCGAAAGTACCCTTTCTGGCTTCTGTGTGAAGGCTGTTAAGTTTGTTTAATAACGAAAAGAATGTGATCTCTATCTAACCAACTACCCAAGTTTTAGGATTTTGGAGGCAGTTGACAGTCGGTAGTTTTTTTTTCCAAACTAACTGTAACAAGAAGAGGCCTCAACACTAAACAGTTTGATGATTTTATAGAAGTTTTAAATCAATCATTATTTATAAGATTACTTTATCAGTTGATTTTTTATTGCGTAGATAAATAGAGAATTAAAACTAATACAATGTTTTACAAGCTTGAAGAGCCAAGGAAAGCAAAAGCATTGGCAGTGGATGCAGCTTGGTCTTTTCCTCTCTGTTTGATATATCATCAGTGCTTTTGGTCACTGGTGGCTGCTTTGCTTCTAACACTGTAGCATTTCCATTGCTGGTTGAGTTCAATGGAGCCTGCAGCACTTCAACCACGACTCGGTGGCGCAGATATGTAGCAATTTGATAATGGCAATGAAAGGGGGGTGCCTAAAAGAGGCAGAGATGGGGATGTTGCTATCAGAGAGCACAAGCATCCATACCCGGCTTGGACGAGTTGATTAAGGGCTGTGCAGCAAGTATCATCCATGGAAATAAAGCCACTGCTTAGTTTCAAGCAATGCTCAAGGTCTAGACCCACCATGGAGCAGCCAGGAATTTGGGTTTTAACTGCAGATGGTGAAACACAAAGCAGAAATGCCAAAATCCAAGAAATCCCGGAGAAAACCAATCTCCTCATGCCCATGAGTATCATTGAATCAGAAGGTAATTATGTCTCGCTCTCTCTGCATATTTATAAGCTTCAACTGATATTTTATGCCATTTTATTGTTAAGTATAGAAATTATGATAATTACGCTATACAATTCAAACATTTTGCTAACCAAGTTGGAAAGGCCATTTTATTGATTTATTTGTATGACAGTTTCATCAGTACCAAATAATTTTTTTTTGAGTTCCATTCTCATGCATGCAGAGACCTCTCTGTTGAGGAACTTTCTCACTACCAGAGTTAAATGGTGACATAGAACAGAAGAATTGAGATATTCTAAGCTTTTCTCTTTTTAATGATCTTTTTTTTCATCCATGTAATTGCAGATGCATGCTATTTGCCCTGCAGGGATCCAAAATAAAGTAAAACAAATTTTTATTTGCACTGATTCAAATTATACAATACAGAAACCCAAGTTTCAATAGATAATCACCCAACATGGGTTGCAATGATCTAAACTAGCCTAAAACTATAGTCACACTCATACCAACAAAAGAATATTTCTCAAATAATGTATGGAAATCTGTATAGAGATGAACATAATCAGCCTAGAAAAACTTCAAAGCCAGAATGCCTGATGCAAAAAGCATAAGAGAGGGTGAGAGACGATAAGAGGTAAAGGCAGCCGAAGGAGTCAAAACAGGGCGGCTCCCTGTAGTTGAGGTTGGAGCTCCAGAGCCACCTGTTGTAGATGGCGGAGTTAAAAGTGGTGTTGTGTCGGATTCCGGTGACAGAGCAGATGAGGTTGGCTCTGGGACAGAGGAAGCTGCTCAAGAGAAACATACATGGGGAATCAACAAGAAGTGTGTCACCAATTTTAGACACCTAAAACAATTATACATCTGCCTTTTTAAATGAGACAGACGGCTATGCTGAAAATGTACTAATTTCAGAGATTACCTGTTGGACCAGATGGTGAAGCTCCAGGAGAGAGGGTTGGCGCAAGGGAGCTAGGACCTGCCCAAAAATACAATTAGTCATCATTAGTTCACCAACTTAACAACCATAACAATATAAGAAATTAATGTTCACTTATGAAGTTATGAGAGAATCTGAATTATATGTAACATGTCCCATTGATAATACAACATGTCAAACTAGCAAGAAAGCGCTTATAATCGTACCTGGAGCAGGAATAGGTGCAACTGTGGCTGCACATTATAAACATCATGTTAGTATTCATATTAAAAAGATACACACAATCACGTTGACATTGAAAACCCAAGTGCGATATGAAATTAGAAACTTTTTCTTTTACCTTGGCATTGGAGTGGGACGCCGGGGATGTTGCAGGCACGAGGGAGAGAGATGGCTAGAGAACGGTTGATCGGTAGTTGGAAGGGAACACTTCCAGTTACAATTAGGCAAAAGCAATCTCTGCTGCTACTTGTGAGGGCTTTTAGTGAATTGCAGCAGTCTGCCGTTGGTGAGGTGCCATTGGAGCTGCTATTAGTGAGAAAACTCATGCAAGGGGTCAAGCTAGAAATCGCCGAAGCATTGCAAGGAGAACCAACTTGGCCATAGACAGGCATAACCAAGGCCAGAGTCATTGCCAATGCCATAGCTAGACGGAAAAAAGGCACTGAAATCTCCATATCTGAAATTGTAAATGGAAGCAAATTTGTGGTTTTGTAGGAGTAGGTAAAATGTATAAGTTTATGGTGCTATCAGAGAAGAGTTAGATGGGTTTAATTGAATTGTGTTTAGGGGTGAGAAGGGTGAGAGAATTTATAGATGAAGGGGATTGAGGAGAAGTGGAGGGAAGAAACAGGTGAGTTGGTTTTGGAGCTCAACTACCTTAACGAACTTTTGTGAAAACAAGGGGTTTTGGAACTTTTGAGTAGGTGGGATTTGCATTATGTGGCATATTTGTATGGAGCCCATTTTGACTTGCATTTTGGCTGACCTGGTGGTGGCTAAGAAATTTTCTGACCCCCTGATGCCATGTGGATTCATATGGTTGGTTAATAGCTCTCAAATGTGTTAGGATATTCTCAAATGAGGGTAATGTTTATCCCAAACTAGAGGTTTTAATGTGATATTCTAACTGCTATAATTTATGGGAGAGGGACTCGAACTCGGATGCAAGGAGGGGGTTACACTATCCTCATCAAGTAGCATAACTCACATTTGTCCGAAATTAGTAGTATTGGGAGAGCCCAAAACTCAACCACAAATGCTACTTGTGCTCCAATTTGCAAAAGGACTTCAATATTGACAGATTTCTATTTTGCTGAGAAGTTTTCTCTCACCAAAAAAAAGAAAAGAAAAAGAATTGGCTTCAATAATCATTTTGACAACCCTACCATCCCAACTTTTCGCTGACCAACTTATGTGCAAAGATACCGCCAGACGCATGCAGATACAGGTTAAGAGAGTAGTTGACCCTCTCTCATTGACAGGTATCCAATATCACTCATTGTACACAGTCATAAGCTCAAGTCAAATAAACCATGCGCATCAGTCTGATTGAAATACCAAAAAAATAAGAAAACAAATGTAATTTCCCTTCTCTCCAAAACCTGCTTCCTATGTACTTAGCTTTTTTGCTCTAACAATTTCTCGAAGTCTCCAGCTTCTAACAGATCCCCAAAAAGAATAGAAGTTGGGTCACCCAATAACCGGCCTCCGAACTAGTCCTATGCCAGCAAAGCCACAACATTTGAATAAAATGTTGAAGTTCCAAGATTCATAAGTACAAAAGAACCCATTATGAAATAATATAAGTAGGAGAAGTTGGTTACCCAATTAAGCCAGCATTTTGTCTGTTTCTTCTTTTAGCCCCCTACAAAAGGCACATGCCCCTCCTCTAAAATTCACCAAGTTAATCAAACACTCAAATCCCAGTGCAGATATTACAACTTCTCAAGCATTTCCTACACAAATTCAAGAACTTAATTGTTGCAATGGCACAAAGGATGGAGATGAGTTTGGTCCTTGTCCTGGTGACCATGTTCTTGGCGAAAGCAGCAGCACAGTCTAGTTGTACCAATGTGATCATCGGTATGTCACCTTGCCTCAATTATATTACTGGCAACTCCTCAACCCCTTCTTCAGGATGCTGCTCACAGCTTGCTAGCGTCGTCCGCTCCTCTCCACAGTGCTTGTGTGAGGTCCTTAACGGCGGTGGCTCATCACTCGGGATCAATGTCAATCAAACTCAGGCTCTGGCATTACCAGGTGCCTGCAATGTTCAGACTCCACCCCTCAGCCAGTGTAACGGTAAGCCTGCAGATGATTATTTTCTTTGATTTTTGGCTCGTGTCGATTCTACTAATTAATTGTACACTGCTAAAAATGCGCAGCTGCTTCTCCAGCTGACTCTCCAGCAGGAACACCAGAATCTCCAAGTGATGGTCCTTCAGGTACAAAATAGTTCATATCATTCTTTCAGCTATGCATGAATAAAATAGTTTTGTATTCTTTTCTTTTCCCCCTTAACAAAGTTTAAAAGCTCTGCTCCATCTCAAATTACGATGTTCATATTGTGTAGGAACTGGATCCAAAAATGTACCATCAACTGAAGCTGGCTCATCTGGAAACTCCATCAAGTTGTCTACAACTCAACTGTTTGTTGTTCTGGCTGCAGCATATGCTAGCCTCTCAATGTGCTGATTTTCTTTTCTGTTGGCCAACCTCTCGAGTTACACATAATGCTCTTGATGATTGTTAATGTATTCCATTATTGTTTAGAATTCAGTAGTTAGATATATGTATGTAATTTATTATTCATTGTGACCTCAACAGAGAGGTTTATATATGTTTTTGTACTACAGAAGAGGCATCCTGCTCTCTTCCCTTTTTGATAATAAAGGTTTCTGGTTTCTGAGTGTACACAGGGAGCATAACAAAAACAAATGCATTTGCCAAGAGCAAAATTGTTGCACTGAAAAGCATAAATTATACAAGATTTATGATACTGAATATCAATCAGGGGTACTGGCATTACATAAAGGCGTCCGTAAAGGAGCCGTCGGAAAATACAAGACTGCAACTTTAACACCAGCATAAACAAAATTAGGGCTTTAATACAAATAAGCTTTTCAATCTCCATTCTCTGGGATAGCCACATAGCAGTTCCACTCAACGCATTTTCTGTATGACAAGGTTTGCCCCTCCGATTGGCTTTGGCATTGGTCGGAGGAGATGGTCGGTCTTGTACACTCCAAAGCTTGCAAATATGTAAAACATCCAGCAATTCCAAGCAAGCCAAGCAGTGTCTAGGACTCCGGCTGAAGAAGCTCAGGAGAAGCTGATTCAAGGGAGTCGGCTGTTATTTCTCAATCAGTTCAAAGATAAATTAGAAATCCTTTAAAATAACTGTGCGAGCAGCCAAATGCATGCCAAATCTTTGCATAAATTGTAAAATGGCAAATCCATCTTCAAATATCTACCCTTGATATTCAACCAACCAATCATCTTTCCATGTACTCTTCTCTTGATTGATATAACTTCCACTCAGCTAAAAACATAAGGTTATAATATCCTCAAAATTTTGTAACTAAACTTCAAAGTTACAGACAGGAGCACCAAAATCCAAGTGATCTCCAACATGAGACAGCTGCATACATCCTTCTCCCCAAAACTTGACGCACATCAAGAATGTGACCGTGACCGTACAAATTCTTCTAGTCTGTCCCACACCTCTAATGCCGCGGCTCTATCTTGATGCCGCTTATTCTTGCTAATCTGCACATTTAGAATATATGTTCACATGGAATGAGAACAGAACAAACAGAGAAAAGAATGAAGTGGAAGATGCAGTGACAATGATTCGAATTACAAAAGCAAGACCCTAACTAACATCACTGACTAAAATCAAAGCAGCAAACCAGCTCAAGATGCTCACCGAGATGATCTTTACATTCCACTGCTTCACAATTTTAGCTGACTCCACACTGTCATCTTCAAAACGCATGAAAAACCCCACGACTGCATTACAGACAAACATACACAAACAACCCCAAATCACACAAGCTACACTGTAGTTTCAACAATCACATAAACAAACTCAGAAAGCAAATATCCTTATGACCCAGATAACTATTTGTCAATCAAATTAAGCCCAGAACAGAAATGCTCCACTTACTCTTATTGAAAATTTCAACATGGTCCTTGAAAGGCCAATCCTTGAACTGCCACTCTTTCCCCAACACGAAAACCGCCACAACCCGATCCCAATCCTCGGCCTTCAACGCCGAGGGCTTATCCCTGACCTCATACGCCGTTACCACCCTATCCCTATCCCTACTGAACTTCTTCTGCACCGTCACACAGTCTGGCTTAGCCCCCTTCATCTGCTTCACCTTCACATCCGTTGGTATATAAACCCCATCTTCCAAAAACTCCTTCACATTGTAAATCGTAATCAGCGTCTGAAACGCACTGGGCACCAAAATTATGGGCACACCTTCCCCAATTTTACCACCCTTCAAGTGCAATTTGGGCTTGGGATTCGGGTCGTAACCCGATTCGTCCCCGAACCCGGTCAAACCCCTCTCGTCCGAACCCATTAGCCTACTCTTCGCCACCAACCCGTCTTTCCTCTGCTGCGACTCGATACGCTGTCGTTCCTCCTCTCGCTTGGTCGCCGAAGTCAAAACGCCGTAAAAGTTCCTCCCTTTACACTCCAACAAGCCCTCCCGGTCCTTCAACGGCCTCTCCCCGGAGCAAATCAACGACATGTAGTCCACCGGGGTCTCAATTTGACTGAAAACCCTAGAATCAGTCGTACCGTAATCGTTGCTGTCTTTGTTGATGCCGCTGTTGACGTTCGGATCGAGACTGGGGAGTTTGGGATGGACGGCGTCATTTTGAGGGGGGAGGAGGAATTCGATGGAGTCGGAAGAGGAGATCTTTCCGGTGAGGTAGTCGAGGAGGGGCTTGCGGTCGGGGAAAGTGACGGAGGGGATCCCCTGGGTGCGAGCGCTCTGGATGTAGTCGGTGTGCTTGAGGTGGTGGTTGGTGACGTAATAAAGGAGAGTTTCGAGGGTATAAAGATTGCCCTGCTTGGACCGGTAGGCGGTTTCGGCGTGGCAGGGGAAGCTGTAGTCTGAGTCGAACCGGAACTCGTCGTTGACTCGGACGATCTTCTCCAACTCGCCTCGGATTGTGAAGTCGCGGAGGGCGGAGAGTGGGTCCATGTTTGATGATGATGTTCTTGCTTGCTGAAGCTCCTGCTGCTGTGCAAGTGATGACAGTGATGATGACTGAGACACTGACGATGTGTGGAGCGCAAAAGAGAAGAATTTGGTTTGGGTTTTGGGCCGACTCTCTTATCATCAGTATGGGCCTTGGATTCGGTGATTTACTTTAGAATTAGGAAACCTAAATCAATGCAAACTATTAGATAAATACTTGGCATGTTTACTTACTTGGACTAGAAAAGCCATTAATCGGGAAAGGCCTTTATTTTTATTTTTATTTTTTTTATACAAGTGATATTAGGAGAGGGAAATTACAGATAAATATTCTTAATCATTTGAGCTAATAATAAAGTGAAAATGAAAATGTGATGGTTGGGGCAACAATATCATACAAATATTTAAATAACAATTAAATATTATACGGTAATAAATATAGTTAGAAATCATTATATTACTTATTGGTACTATATGGATTGCAATGAAATTGCTGTGTTATAATTTGATTTCGAGTTACTTGCTTCTATTTTTTTAAGTCCACCCTTACCACCAACGTTATATGCCAGCACTATAAAATTTTACATACATTTATAAATAAAAAAAGAACAATACTTTGTTCACCCACCATTATTCCTGAAATGCTATCAATTCAACCAAACACTTTCTTCACTTACAATATTATTTCTTCCTGAAAAAAAATATGAAAAGTCTTGCATAAGGATGGTTCATCACATATTATGAGACTTTTAATATATATGTATATAGGGTACATTTGCATAATGGGTACAAATTAATATATTAAGCTTGACATTCTGTAGAAAGAAGGCTGAATATCACCGTGTCCCTAGTTCTTCCCTTCAGAATAAAAAACTTTCTAAGCACACCTTCCCTGAGGAACCCAGACTTCTCAAGAACCCTCTGTGATCCCACATTGTCCACATCAACAAAAGCTTCAAGTCTATCCAAATGTGTCCACTCTTTAAAAATAGTATCAGCCACCAATTTCACAGCCTGGGTTGCAATCCCCTTGCCCCAGTACTTGGACCCCAAGACATAGCCAAGTTCACCTCTGCACCGGTCACCGCCGGAATTCGAGGTCACTAAAATGGCACCAATTGGCCTGTTGTCAAGGCAGATTGCCCTGAACCAGGGGTGTGGGAGAATCTTCTCTTTGATATAGTTTAGGGCTTCTTCTTTGGTAGCATAAGGTTCCCAAGTGCAGAAAATAGAGGCCTTCTCATCTGTACCCCACACCATGAAATCATCAATGTCAGCGAGACCCAATGGCCTAAGGCTGATCTTGGAGAGATCAATATCAGAACTTCCCTCCATATGTGTACAATTCTCACTATGGTCACTTAGAAATTTTATGAAAAGTCCTTGCAGGGCTGAAAAAATATAAGAAATTTTGTCTCTAAGGCTAAAGCAATCATGGGCAGAAGTTGTAAGAGCCTTTGCCTTTTATACATGCACAAAAATAGAAAGTGAGAGCATAAGAAATTGCCTAGAAATAAGGTGTTGCTTTGCAGTGGAGTGGTGAGCAAGAAATAATAATATTACTCGCGCTTGATGGCCAGCAGCCTTGGTTGACCAATTGCCAGGACAAACACTAGGCAAGTCTTGATGGCCAGCAGCCCTGGTTGACCAATTGCCAGGACAAACACTAGGCAAGTTTAAGTCACAAAGAGTGCAATTGCAACCCTGCAAATTGGAGCAGTTTAATGGTAATTTATTTTTGGTATTAGAAGAAATTTCAAGTTTGAACTTCTTATCCTAATGAATGTAAAATTAATAAATAATATGTTACAATTGTGTTACGTAGTGAGACTATGAGATAAGATACGCATTCGAATATAATTGCACTTAACCAATCAACTACGGTTTCACAACATAACATATCAAACTTGTTACTTTTAAAAACTAGAATTACAGCAGTTAGATAAACGATTGATGGCTAATATACACAATGACTAAAAAGAAAGTGAAAAATTCGAATATAGTTGCACTTAACCAACCAACTACAGTTTCAGAATATAACATATCAAACTCGTTACTTTTAGAAACTAGAATTACAGCTCAACGATTGGTGGCTGATATACACAAAGACTAGTAGGTGAGAAGTGGAAAATTCGCAAGGTTTTCTGAAACTTCATTTTAGTGTTTATTTGCGTTGAAATCTTTATAGTTTTTCTAAAATTAGATTTGACTCGAAGTCTAGTGCAAGGCTTGACTCGAAGCACATGCTGAAGTGTTTTTCCTAAAGTTAGAGAACACAATATTATATGTACAAGTGTGCTAAGATTTGCTTGGATCTGAGTAACAAATTGGAAAGTAGCAATTTGAATAGCAGCAGTATAACAAAGTTGCACCGAAATCTCAATCAATCAATATCAGAAATGTCTGGATTTCATCTTTCATTGCTCTACGTGTATCCCATTGATCTCAAAATTCAAACAAAAATAATGAAAAATAGATAAAATCAATACATAATTAATGTTCTTGTTGCTTTTACTGGGTTTACAAATTACAAATACATCAAGTTCGCCAATCTGTAGAAAGAAGGGCGAACATCACCATATCCTTACTTCTTCCCTTCAAAATAAAGTACTTCCTCAGAACACCTTCCCTCTGAAACCCTGCCTTCTCAAGCACCCTCTGAGATGCCACATTTTCCACATCAACAAGAGCTTCAAGCCTCTCCAAATGTGTCCACTCTTTGAATATAATATCAGCCACCAGTTTCACAGCCTGTGTTACAATCCCCTTGCCCCAGTACCTGGACCCTAAAACATAGCCAAGTTCTCCTCTGCACCGATCGTTGCCCGAATTCGAGGTCACCGAAATGGAACCAATAGGCCTGTTTTCAAGGCAGATTGCCATGAACCACGGGTGGGGGAGAACAACATTTTTGATGAAGTTTAGGCCTTTGCTGGCATAAGGTTCCCAAGTGCAGAAACGAGGCACTTTCTCATCTGTAGCCCACACCATGAAATCATCAATGTCAGAAAGCTCCAAGGGCCTAAGTGTGATCACGGAGAAGTCAGCTTCACTGCCTTCTCTTCCATTTGATAGACCTGAACTTCTCTCCATGTGGGCAAATTCTCGCTATGGTCACTTGGAAATTATATGAGTAATTGTGGGAAGAATTTGTGGGCCTTTGGGTATATGTATGCTCAAAAAAGTGAGATCATAATAAATTGCCAAGAAATACGGTTGTGTATTATAATGAGTAGGGCCAAGGTGGGTTCTTTGCTTTTGGTCAATTACTTGGAGTGGCGGGCAAGAAGAAAATGTAGCAATCAGCAAGAAAGTATTGTGCTTGTGGCCGCCTTGGTTGACCAATTACCCGAGAAAGGGCAACACTGGGCATGTTTTTTTTCTTTGCAGTTTTCTTTGTCTGTTGAAAAAGACAATTTTTTTCTTCTTTATTATTTCACATTCTGTGCAAATTGGTTCAATGTCGGCAAACAATTCTCTGGAAATCACACTCCGTCCTTATAGGCCCTCAGATGCTGAGGACTTCTTGACGTATGCCGGTGATGAAAACGTAACACAATTCACTCGTTGGAACACATTCACCTCTAAGGAAGAAGCACTTTCCTACATCAAGGATTTTTGCATCCCTCACCCTTATTGCAGATCCATCTGCATCCATGACCGTTCGATCGGATTTCTCTTCATCAAGCCACAAGGTGGTGATGACAAGTGTCGAGCAGAGGTGGGATACGCGTTAGCTGCTGAGTATTGGGGACAAGGCTTAGCAACCAGAGCTGTGAAGATGGCCATAAGTGATGGGTTTAAAGAGCTCACTGATTTGGTCAGAATGCAAGCTCTGGTTTTGGTGGAGAACAAGGCCTCCCTGAGGGTGTTGGAGAAACTTGGGTTCTACAAGGAAGGCCTCTTGAGGAAGTATACTTTTCACAAAGGTGCAGTTCAAGATGTTTTCATGTATAGTCTTCTGTCCTCTGATTCTATGCCTTGAAACTCACGTTTTCATGCTAGCTAGCTTGTTGAAGAATTTGCAGTCAGGCTTGTATGGTATTGAATTACAATTCAGATAATTGTCTACCTTTGTAAGTACTTTTACAATGCATCTAGCATATTGCTAGGCAATTTATTCCACCCACCAATAGTCCTAAAGAACTTAATTGGACATCCTGACACATGATAGGCTGAGTGACAAGTATCGTCAGTTAAAACATAACATGTGTTACAAGTTGTTATTTATAATTCAGATTCATAAACATGTTATATTTTAACTAGACAATATTTGTTATTCGGGATGGAACTATGTTCAGAGTTGGCCAAACTTTAGCTCAACCCAATTTTTAATTATTTTTCCATTTCTTCTATTCTTACATGTAACAGGGATAGCCGGCTAATAACACAATTACACGTAGAAAAGTTATTCTACGTGTCATTAAGTTATTAATTAGGAATAATATAAAGTGTTATTCCCATTACATAAGTGTTTGTCTCCTAGATGGTTGGCTAATTTGTCTGCTTGTAGTACTAGTACTCTAGGCAGGTTCAATGCACCCAAATGCATTATTGGATAAGATTTTGAATGGCAAGTGTCAAAATAATTGACCTGGTCCTCCACGGCAAAGCTACACATTCATATAATCCACCACTTTCCATGCCTACTTATTCCAAATTGAGCTTGGAACCATCTCAAATTTCCTGCAATTCTATGAACTCATCAAGAATTTCCCTTCGTCCTTTCAAACTCTCTGATGCCAATGACTTCCTCAAATGGGCAAGTGATGATAAAGTAACACGCTATCTAAGATGGAACACCATAACCTCTAGGGAAGAAGCCTTGACATATATTGAGAAGCTTGCTACACATCCATGGCGTCAGTCCATATGTTTGGATGACCAATCAATTGGATATGTTTCTGTCAAACCTGAACAGGGTGATGACACGTGTAGAGCACATGTTAGCTATGTTGTGTCTGCAGAGTACTGGGGGCAAGGGATTGCAACAGTGGCATTGAGGATGGGCATGTGTAGGGTGTTCAGAGAGCTCCCATGTTTGGTGAGGATTGAGGCTTTGGTGGAGGTAGAGAATAAGGGGTCTCAAAGGGTTTTGGAGAAAGTTGGGTTTCTGAAAGAAGGGTTGTTGAGGAAGTATGGGTATTGCAAAGGTGAGACTAGAGATATGTTTATCTATAGCTTCTTATCAACTGATAAGATTATGTGATTCATCAAAAAAAGTTTTTTTTTTTTGTTTTTTTTTTTTTGGTTTTTTTTTTTTTTTTTTTTTTTTTTTTTTTTTTTTTATTTACAAACAATAATAAGGTTAATATGCTCGACAAGAAATAGTAAATGAAATGTTATCGTAATTTATGAAAATAAAATAAAAAGGTCCTATGATATACTCCAATGTAAGTTAATGCAACAACATTATTAGTATGAAGATTTATGTAGGCTCTCTTAGTTCTGATTAGGTTTTGGTTAGTTTTCTTTAGTCGGTGATCGGCCCTCATTAATACAATAAGAAAATATTATTATATTGTAGGGTGGGGTATGAGTTGGGTTGGGTTGATTTTGGTCCCAACTTATAACCCAACTCATTATTAAGCTCAAGACCCGCTCAATATTAGACTCCCTAGACAAAGACCTCATTATTAGGCTAACCTAGCCATACTCATTATTGGTCCCAACCCATAATTACATGGTTTGGGCCGGTTTATAATTTTTGGGCTCAAGACTCATTCATTATTAGGCCAACCCAATTTCTTTGTGATCTGATTGGACGGTTTGGTTAGGTTAACCTAAAATTATAAACATCCTAAGTTTTTGTTCCAACTGATAACTCAATCCATATATAGCAATTTATGCTTTCTTAAGCAGTTAAGTTGGGTTGACCCGAAATTGTGCCCTCCCCAAATACTATAAAAGAGAGATAATGGATTGGATCAATCCATATATAGCAATTTATGCTTTCTTAAGCAGTTAAGTTGGGTTGACCCGAAATTGTGCCCTCCCCAAATACTGTAAAAGAGAGATAATGGATTGGGTTTCCAGTTATCGACTAGTTCATATTCAACAAAGTGAGGCCTATTGGTTCTGGGCTCGGCCCACATATTAAATCTTCACAGGAGACTTATCCCAATTTGATCACTCCCACCCATGCTATAGAAGAATTCTTGCTCAACATAGACCAGTTCCTTGGGCTAGGTTTAAGCTAGGTTAAACAATTTAGAACCAAAAAAGATCAAGTCGGGGTTTTTCATGATGAACATTAACCTGACCCCGACTTCAAGGAAGATGTAGAAGGACAACAATTATAAACCCACGGTTAATGAAATTCACAATGAATTGTATGATGTTTTTATTTTTTATTTTTTTTAAATGTTAAACTGGTCAACCAATAGCTAAAGGAGAAAACTGCGAGCTACCAAGGAGAAATAGAACAAGAATAAAGGCTGGACCAAAGACTCTAGACCAAAAATACCCACAACTTTTTTCTCTTTAATCAATTAATGTTAAATTAAGATGTCACAATAACTTTTCTTTATAAGTAAACTTTATTTTGTTTTTTGTTTGCTAATAAATAATTCTAAGCAACAGCAACAAAAAAAGAAGAAGTGATATTTAGTTATATATGTTATAAATGCATGGAATGTGGATGACCACCATAATATCCATTACCTCCACTCTTAATTGCTTTGTAACCTATGCCCTTATTATTGTAATTAGTAGCTATAAATTGTGGGTTAAATACCTCTATTGTAAGCCTATAAATAGACACTTATCAAAGATGAATATGATATGTTGATACAAGGTCATAGAATAAATTCTCTGTATTTCTCTTTCTCTTATTACTGTCTACAATTCCTCTTAGTTTTATAACACGTTATCAGCACGACATTGCTCTTAGTATGTTTTCTTTCTCTGAATTTTCATTCTTCTTATATGAGCTAGAGTCATCACATGGTATAGAGTTTCTTTATACTCACCATCAGACTTCATCATGCTTGTTTAAGAAAAAAAATTCTTATTCTTATTACACATGAATATAATGTCATGTTTTTATTATTATTTATATTTCTTTGTTTATTTAATTTTAAGTATGATCTTAATTATTATGATGAGTTTGTATTATACAAAAGATCAGGGCCCGAAGTTCCTTGATCCTCATCATATAACTAGATTAGGACCTAAAGTTCTTTTGATTGAATCAGAACCTAAAGTTCTTTTGATTGAATCAGAACCTGAAGTTCTTTAATTCCAAATAATTGAGGGCGTGAAGTTCCGCAAATTTAAAGAGCACATAAAGACATGAAACTCCTCGATTTTGTATTAATCAAAATCAGAATTCCATGAGGCATACATATGTCAAGAACCCGAACTAGAAGTTTCGAGTACATATATATCGATTTGAGTATGAAGTTCAAAGCACAACTATTAATTCCATTTATTTAGATCTACGTATTCGAACCTGAAGTTTCGAATATATATTGATATGAACATGAAGTTCATAGTTTTTCATGGATCTTAATACTATATATGAACCTGAAGTTCATTACTTATTTGTGCCTATATGAACCTAAATTGGTTGGAAATCCAATTCTTAAACTTGTAGTTTTGTCTACATATTGAATCCACATTAATATTGGATTATCTTGGAATTTCATAGTCTTTAATTTATTTATTTTATTCCTCGTTTATACCACTTTATTCATTTTATTTTATTTATGTTGGGTTATTAGTTAATTTCGTTTTACAATGGTAATGTTTTGTATTACAGCCCCAATATTGACAGCTAGAGGCGTCTATTGGAGAAACTTCCTACTTTCTTTTGTGAGTAGGAAGTTTATGATACCATGAACCAAAAGTTCATGAGGCCTTAATATTACACAACTATTAAATTAGTTGAAGATTATGATATTATGAACCAGAAGTTCATTGACCGGATAACTTTTATGTTGTGACACGACTATCTTGGCAATCCATGTTCCACAATGATACATAAGATTTTTATAAATTTGTAAGGACATTGTTTAAAGACTCAAAATATTATCTTGTCCAACAAATATCATTACAAAGAATGCTCACAAATAAAAGCTGTCATAAGATCATCTCAGTCAAAAATTGACATTAAGCCCTCTTTCCTGAAATAATTCAAAGGGATATTTGTGAGCCTATACAACATTTAATTATGGATCACTTCACTAGTTTTATTGAATATGCCTACTAAAATGGTTACATATTTGTCTCTTGTTAAGACGCTTACGAGAACTACTCCCACATTATCCAATCCAGTATGGTGAGTTTATTTTCCTACATTTTGAGACAATTTTCCCACCGATAGGGGGAGAAATGACAGTTCCTAAAGAACGTCGTGAAATAATGTTGAATCGGTCCGCTTTTGTCTCATCAAGATAATGCATATATAAAGTTATGAATGTGCAAACATGGATTGATATTCTCGTATCACATTCCATTAACATGGTGACTATATATATATATATATATATATATATATATATAATGCATGCCTAGAGCATGACAGAAATATAGGTTCTAAAGACTTAACACCAATTTTGTTAAAGCTAATTTTGAGCAAACCTTTCTTTTAAGGAACAAACACCAATTGCACAACTCCAATTTTGAGCAAACCTTTCTTCAAGCAAACGTCAATTTTGTTCTTAGATTATCTTTTCTTAATTTTTTTTTTTTCTAATTTGGCTCTCTTTGTTGTATCCGTACGATCAGTAGCCAACTCGAGGAGGAAAAGGTTGCGCGACGCACGAGTCGAGATACGATCACATGATTTGCTTATTTAATTAATAATATGATATTGATTTTCGTTAGATTAATTGATGATTTAATATTGATTTCCATATTAATTGATATACTATAGTCCATTAGGCATAATTATAGGCTTAAGACCCTTATTGTTTCAATTATAAGGATATTTGGTTGTCAATTTTTATTTATAACATAACAGGAATCCTAATCCCACAACGCCACAAGGAAACTCCATACGCCTATATAAACTCATATACATATATTCTTTCTGAATTGAATCTGTTGGATATAATTACAATCTTGTTGGCCAGGTAAGCTTTTTTTCTTTTCTTTTTTCTTTGTTGGACCTTTTTGGATCCCTTGAATTCTATTTGACATGCAACTTTGTTGGACCTAAAACCTAAACCCTAAACCCTACATTGTTTTGTTAGTATGAGAAGAAATTTTTTGCCTGTCTGTGTTTCATTTTGGTTTTTAATTCGACGATTTTGATCATTAATTGTGTCTACATCCGGCTAAATTGACAGTAATCTTTGATTTTTCCCTTGCTTGCTCAGATTTTGATTACTTTTGTCAGATTAATAATAACTAATTAATGTTATAGATGGCGATGAGGAATCGGATGGAGAATATTTCGAATGCCAAGTCTAAGCAGACAATTATTAGGAAGAAATGGGTGATAGTCAACAACAGCAGCAGCAAGTGGTCGAAAAAAGTCCCAGATGATATCATGCAATCGGTTCTACAAAGGCTGTCCATATTCGATTATTTTCGGTGTCGCTCAGTATGCCGTTCATGGCGAGACTCTGTTGATAGGGCAATTTCCAGCAAATGGTGTCGTCCTGCTCCTCAACTTCCATGGCTTTTCAGTTCTCGTTTTCGCAATTTTTTAAGCTGCTTTGAGTATGAGCCGAAGTTTTACAAATTAAATCTGCCTAGTGATGATGCGCATGATGAATATGTTGGGTCAATTGAGGGGTGGTTGATGAGAGTTGATGGGACTGGATCCATAATTACCTTACTAAATCCCATCTCTGGTGGCCGAGTGATGCTTCCACCATGCAAACATGAGCTCACAGCTGCCTCCTTCATCAGTAAACTTGTAGCCTCTTCAGTACCAGTACCAAGCCCCCCATCCCTCGCATGTACATGTACATGTATTGTGGCTTGCCTTTCCACAGGCGTTGAAAAGACGTGGCTGGGTGTCTGTAGACCCACTGATAAATCATGGACCCGAATTGATGAGGAGGGCCTCAACTTTGAATCTATAGAGTTCATCGATGGGAAGCTATATGCTGCAACCAAGAACCTATCCCAGTTTTTATTAGTGTTTCAGTTTGACACAAATGATAATCAACAACTCCACTACACAGCTCAAAGGTTGGTTGTACTTGACGACACCCCCGGGCTGCCAGATCGTGAAAGGTTCGACCATATATTTAGGATAAAAAAGAGTCGTCTTTCCCTTGCAAAAGATTTCTCTACATCAAAGGAGTTGATTATGATTACTTTTCCGGACGATCATTCTGAGAATCTGCTTGTATGTCCACCTAATTATGCTGAAGCATTTCAAGTTTTCAAGCTGGAGTTTAGTAATAATAAGACTAAGAATAAGAATGGTGCTCCTCCTCCTCCTCCTCGATGGGTAGAGATTGTCGGGATTCGTGATCGGATATTGTTTCTATGCCAGAAATGCCATGAATTCAAATACGTGCTCCACAGTGACACTAATGATCTACATGATATACATCTAAGACACTGCATCGATTCTGGTTTATCTTTATTCACCAGACCAGTCGCCTGGCTCACACCAAATCCTTGGTAGCATCTAAGCTTATCCTTCTCTCTTTCAAGGTTTTCTCTTTCAAAGTTTGGCTTTGGCTTGCTTTGTTTTTGTTAACATATGTTCACTAGTATAGCTAGCTGCATCGTTGCTCCTTGTTTCATGACAATTTTTTCTTTCTTTTCTCCAAGTGTTGGAGCGAATTTATATGGTGAATTAACAGATTATGTTGGTTATAGCAGCAGACATCCCTCTGAAATAACATAATATGTGACTTATGATCAGTATTATTGATTCAATTACAATTCAGAATTCGCCAGCCTACGTTGGGTCAGACAAGAATTAAAGGTCCTTGCTCCCATCATAGACATATTTATTAGCAAGTAGCTGATGATATCAGTACTAGAAAAGCTCCATATAAGCCACGGATATACCGCGGCCAATCTTACACTTAGCCAGACAACCCATAGCTAATGGGTGTTGGCCAGATATTCGCCACAAATCACCAAACTGTGGTTCAAGCATGGTGTTGCCAATGCTTTATGCCACGGCAACCAGCGTCTGTGGCATATATAGTGTGGGTCCCAAACTTTTAAGTTGTAATTTCCCTGTTCCCATGTGTTTTTACAAAGTTTTACAAAAAAATAGTACAGCTGAACGGTTGGTGAGTAGAGCAGTTAAACACCTCCAACTCCAAACTCTCTTTTTGCTGACTTTGCGAACAACATATATGCTTGTTTGCTTTGTACAAGAAATTGAGATGAGAAATTAGTTTGCTTGTGCAGACACTCAACCCAAACCTTGCAGCTTCCATATTGCAAATGTGATTAAGTGTTTCTGTAGATTTTTCCTCAAAATGAAAAGAAAAGACAATCCAAAAAAAAAATCTTCCCATTGACTCTAATCATAATTATGGAATGATGCGCCATTTTTTTTGGTTCCAACAGTCCATGAATATAGGGATTTATACATTAACTAGGGACCCTCAGTAGTCTGATTTGCAACTGAAGCAGCACCAACATGAGAACTTGCCGGTTCCCATATTCCAGTAAATGTGCATACAGAAGGGGAAGAAAGTTATGACCCACAAGTTCAGTTTCCCAATTCCAGTGAGAATGCAAAAGAGGGAAACTGTCTTTTATTGGTTGCATCCCATCCCTGCACAAAGTCCAAACAAAAGCACAATTTTGTCTCTTTTGAGAAAAGCGGTACCAAAAATTAAGATTTGAACCTTTTTCACTCTCTACTTTTGTTTGAATTCTATAGTTTCAAAGTTTGAACCAGACATCACCAATGAGCCCACTATTGATTTTGGCAAACTGAAACAAGGTTCTCATGAACGAGCAATAGTTATCCAAGAAATCGAAACAGTTTGTCGTCAATTGGGATTCTTTCAAGTAAGCTTAATCAACATAGGTCTCTATAATTGTCTTTTTCTTTTGTTTAGATAGTAATAATTGTGCAAAAAGTTTAATTATATATAAGTTGATGATCTTCATGATCCTTCCATAACACAACCATGCATATAACTTGCAACGCCACCATCTTTTCACGAGGAAGATGCATCTTTTTCACCCCAATCAGCAAATAATATATGACTGTAACGCTTTGTTACGACAGGTTTTGATATTTAGCTACGGTTTTCGTACTTTTAGTAACGAGAAAGTGTCTTTAGCAGCGAAACAAACCGTCACTCGCTGTGGGTAAAACAACCATTTGCAACGTCGAAGAAAACTGCTGGTAAATGTCACAAGAAAACTGCCGCTAAATGTTGGAAGAAAATTTTAATTTCCACCCTTCCCCAATCCTCAAAGATATTACGAGCTGAAAAATAGAAAAGCAACACAAAAACCTTCTTTTCATTATCTTTACCAAGATATTACATGGAAACAGTTCACAAATTCTCGTACAAAATATTTACTTTGATACATGGAAATGCCCCAATCAATTCAACAAACCAGATGGGATACGAAAAAATATTCAGTGCAATTTTATCACTCCACCCATTCTGAAGGTGATTCTTTTTCTCTACTAACTTGCTAGCGACTTCCTGCTTGTTCTCAGTCCATTGAAATGGTCTCTCACAAATACCACAACCGTTAAAAGTAGGTGCTGAAGCTGTGGTTTATAAAGTGTAATCCAGAAGACTGCTATCTTTGAACATCCCCTGTGCACCTTCCTCCATCCATATGCAACGAATTTCATCCAGGCATTAATTGACCTAAAGTTCACAACAAACATTATAGATTGAACTTAGAAAATCCTTTTGCTATCGCATTTAACTGTAAGCCAATGAGTAATACAACCATATACAAAGTTTACACATGAATGTGAGGCCCATATCAAATATACCACATTGAAAGGCAAGTTGCCCATCTTGGCGACAATGTTGAAAGGCCAGTTTGAAATAACAATCAACGGAAACTTTACTGAGTACATTTTCAGTCAATAGCCCCTCAATTTTGTCCCCAAGACTCTGGTATGTGACAACATTTAACCAAAATGTTAGTCAAGGGTTCATTGACAAAACAGCAATAGGATTTTGTAAAAACCCCTAAACGATACGAAAGATAAATGATGTTTGTGCCTGTGCACCTATGTGATCAGTGTTCACATGCACAACTGCTGACTCGTTGAGCCTTGTTCAAGTAACAGTAAGTACATTAACAGCACATTATACAGCAAAAGATTTTTGTCCCACACTGACAACTGAAAGTCACTTGAAACTAATGATAATAAAATTAACCACAAAACAGAACTGATACCTCAAGGTTGATCAGGGGACCTGACCTCTTGTATTGATCCCGTCGAGGGGAGTGGTGAGATAGCACTAAATGATACTTGAACTTGCGTAAGAATTTTTTCTTCCCCTACTCAGTCAAATATTCAAGCCTTCATGATAACCTGCATAGTGATCATAATTTTGAAGAAATAAGAACCAGAGGTTATTAAGGAAAGAGCAACAGAGTAATGACAACTAAATCATTTAGAGGCCAAAATCCTAACTGCCTATGATTCATCAATCATCAAAAGACGGTATGTCTGAACTTTCCTTGTTGGGACAAAATAAAACAATAAGCTAGTGTGGTGAATGCATGTTATGAGTCGCAATCCTATTTGAATAAAGTTTAGTTATTTGGAGTTGAGATCCTATTCTCCCAGTGGTACAAAGCAAACGATGTAAAAGAGCGAGACATACAAACTATCACTATTCTATATACCATTAGACCAGCAAAAGCTACATCCATTGCAGTGATGACCACTATCTGCCTAATGAAAGAAAAATAAATCCACAATTACGCAACAATATGATCATAAGTCATATGAGTGCATATGCCTGCCTTTCGTTCAGTGTTGAGTGAGGATGCATGTAGTAACCTCAAAGTAAGCCCTTTATTTCTTTTCTTTTTTGGTAACAAATATGGATTTTATTAATGATAAAATAGTTAGAAAGGGGATGAACGAGATGTCCTCTAAAATCCTGTGAACATTCTCAACCCCAAACACTAAGTATAATAAAATCCAACTAAGTATTGTAACAATAAAAATTCAAGCTAACTATGTGGAAGGCACATCATTGACCTAAAGAGGTCAATAGTCTTCACGACTCTTTATTGCCTGATTCCAATCATAATGTAAAATAGAGAGAAGAGGGAAGCAGGAGGAGGGAATACCGTACATTTGATACCAGGCTTCAAAACTAAGCTATGGAAAGACTTTACTAAGAAAATAAAATGCCATTTCCAACGCTTGAAAACTTACTTTCCTACATAGAGTTTCTATGAAGTTCAATGACATCCATATGATTACATACCAAAAAAGTGAGCTTTAAAACATTAGCCATGGATGTTAGATCTATAACATCTTTACTCTATTATCATACCTGACTTGCACAAAGAAAAGATTGGCCCCAGTATTTCGGTTTCAACCGGATACACCCGATTCCTGCCCCAAATGCCCCAGCAAAAGCTCCCTCCAAACTACATTGACAGATTAAAAAATCAATTACTGAATTCCTACAAGTCCTTAAATTTACAATTCTACAATGAGACACTAAACACGCATAACCAGACAAAATTTTATACACATTGGCATATACAATTATACATTCACTATACACACAAAAAGATCTTTCTTCTCTCCCAACAATGTTTATCCATAAAGAAACATAATATTTTCCTTTGATTTCTATCATTGTGAGAATTGGTTGTAATCAATGGTTGCGTTATATTTTGCTAGAAGATTGAAGTTGTATTTTTTCAAATCAACTGATTGATGCCTTCCGAGTTCCAACTATCCCAATATGTCAGAATCAAAATTTTCTTTTTGGTTTATGAAATTCTCGCCATTTATATGCCATAAGATCCGTCTAAATCCAATAATCGAAATGGGAAAATAGAGAATTGAAAGGCTTACCAGACAAAAAAAGGCAAGAATTGGTGGGCCTGTGGTAAAATGGGATCAGAATTGTGTGAGCTCCCATCACTCCCAAACTCTCTTGCTTGTTGCCATTTGAGAGCAACAAGCGAGGACTGAGAAAGCCTAGCTTTTTCTCCTGCCGTCAATCACATCTCTTTCTTCTCTCTCGTTCGATCAGATCGAACCGTCGAACGGGCTTATGACTCTGTTTTCTTTTTTCCCGTTCGATTATTTTTTCAAAATTTTCAAAAAATCGAATAGCCGACCGGCTTTACTGGGTTTTTTTTATTTTTTTTAAAGAAATAGTATAGACCGGGCGACTGTCATACAAATTTTTTTTAAAATAGTACAGCCGGGCGGCTACACTGTTTTGACACGTGGGCACCTAATCGATAGGGAGCCCTCTTTTTTAAAAACAAATGGTATAGACGCCGCTATACGCCTTTTTTAATTTTTTATAAATAGTATAGACGTGCGGCTATACTTAATTTGACACATGACCCTAAATTGCTTAGATGGGTCATTTTAAAAAAAATATAAATAGTATAGCCACACGGCTATACTTGGTTTTATTCATGTTTAGCCGCACGGCCAGACCTTTTTGACACGTGGGCAACTTGGCG